CTGGATCCATGCTGGTCGCAAACGCACTATGTTGGTTTTGTCATGACTCCGCTCAAATAAATTTTACACTGATTACATGAGATGTGTGTGGCAATGACTTAAAATAGGAAAAAACAAAGACGTGTAAGAGACAAATCTTGTCATAATGCTTAGTTTTAAAATTGTTTTGTTTATTCACTCCATAGCAGGATGCTTAGTTAAATAAAACAACCTCAAGGTATACAATATCTTTACAAATACAAGTTAAAATGTACTGTAGTTCATTATGAAAATTTTTATGTTGGTTTACAAATTATAAGGCCATCCTTAAAAAAATGTTTGTTTGCAGTAACCCGACCCAGAATTTTCAAGGTGGGTAGGTAGGTCGATTTTTTTTTTTTTTATTATTATTATTATTATTGCACTGTACTCCCAAATAAACATGGAATTTCAAATTACTGGACAATTTATGCTTTGATAATCTGGTAACAATTAATAAATTGATAAATGAATTCTAATTAAATAATACATACATTTTATTTCTTCTATTAACCTTTAAAAAAACAAAAACAAAGCACAAGGCATAATTTTCTGATTAAAAAAAAATTTTTTTTATCCAGACCATGAAAAAAACTTTTGAGTAGGGGCAAATTTTGTTGAGTAGGTCGCGTTACTGCAAACAAACATTTTTTTAAGGATGGCCTAACAAAGTACAGTTCTAAGTTGCTCACATTATTTTTATGTAAAGCGCAAACCATTTCTTTTAAAAATTTAGGGTAATTTGGGGGGTGACGGGCCCCTAGGGGTTTTTACAGGGGCACTTGTTTTCCAAAACATTTTTTTTATAAACCATTTCAACACCATCACAAAAAAAAGTCAAGATAAAATTTTACCTTTCAACCCCTTGAAAAAATTGGGGAAAATTAAAAAAACTTTTACTTGGGATGAATCTTTTATTAAAAAATTTTTAAAATTTTTTTCAAGTTTTTTAAAATTGTAAAAAGTTAAAAAAAATTTTCCACTTTAAAAGTTTAAAAATTTAACAAAATAAACCTTTTCCCTTTTTGTGGTTAAAAATTTTTCCTTTTTTGGAGGGGTAACCCTTTTAAATTTTTTGGCTTTGTTATTTTTTTTTCAATTTTTTACCTTGTAAAAAGTGTTGTTTTACCCAAAAAGGGAATTAAGTTTTAAAACCCAAACCAAAATTGATTTTGCAGTTTTTTTCCCCCTTTTAAATTTTTTTTTTATAAAACCCTTTGTAAAACCCTTGGGGTTTAAAATCCATCGAAATGTCTTTTCCCTTTTTTAAATTTTTGGCCTACAGGGGCCCAGGTATTTTTTGAGAAAGTTTTATATGGGGCCCTTTTATGACAAAAAAAAACATAATCGTTTGTGGGCCCGCATGTAAACCCCAAACCCGCCTGGCATCCGCCATTTTTCAGATCCATGCTGTTTGCTTACCCAAAATTTTTTTTAAAAAAAAAACAAAAAAACTGAATTTGAGAACAATAAACCTATTTTAAAAAGGGGTCATATTGTTTTAAATTTTTTTTTCTATTTTTTAAAGGGTAAAAAACTTTTTAGATTTCTTTGAATTTAAAAGAAAATTACTTTGATCATCTGACGGGAATTTTTTTTTTTACAAAAAATTTTGGACATAATGGACTACTACAGTTTGGGGGAAGCCGGCCCCCTTTTCCCCGCTGGTTTCATTTTTCAAAACTGGGCTTAATGCCACTTTAGAAAAATGGGAAAACCCCGGGCTTTAAAACTGAAAGAAAAAAATATTGATGAGGTAACCCTAAAATTTTAAATTTTTAATTTTTAATGTTAAAAAAAGATTTATTCCCCCATTTCTTGGGAAAAAATTTCGAAATTTGAAAATTTAAATTTAAAGCAAAAAACATCCTCAATTTTTTATTTTGGGCCCCCCCTTTTAAAAATTTTTTTAAAAAACTATTTTTCGGGGTTAAAATAAAGTTGAACCCATTGGGGCCTAAAAAAAAAAAAATTTTGAAGATTATTTTTTTTTATCCTAAAAGCTTTTTCTAAAGGGGTAATTGGTTTTTTCCCAAAGGGGGAAAACGTTTTTGTAATGGGCGTTCTTCAACGTCCATGACTTTAAAAAAAACATTTAAATCTTAATCCAAATTTCAATTTTGGTTTTTCTATTTATGGGTTTTAAAAAATGTTATGTTTCATTTTTCAAGTTTTTGCTTTTTTTTTAAGTAAAAATAAATTTTTTTTTATTGTCATCAACTCTTAAATTTTAAAAATTTTAAATTTTGGGGGTTTTTTATTTTTATTTCTTTTTTTTATGTTTCAGGTTAAAGTGAAATGGAAACTTAAATGGGTCCCCATCTGCTTTTATCCCTCGGGAAAAGAATTTGAAAATTTCCTTTTTAAATTTTTCTTTGTTAATGTGCTGTTATTTTAAAACAAAATTTTGACCCAAAAATTTTTTTTTCTTAATAACCCAAAGGGAAAATTAAAAGGAGATAAGACCCCTTTAAAATTTAAGGTTTTCATTGGGTTCCCCTTTTAAATTTAAAGTAGTTGTAAATGCTAAAAACAAGTATTAAAGCAAAAGTAAAATTTTTACCCCTTTTCTGTTTAACCTAAATTTTGCTTTTCCCGAACTAACTCCTGGAAACTGGAATTTAAAATTTTTTTAAATAACCCAAATGTTTACTTTTTAAATTATTTAAAGCCCTTAAATTAAATTTTATAAAATTTTTTATATATGTTTTTGTTTAAAAAAATTAAATTTGCCAATTGTAAAATTAATTTTTGGGGTTTTTCCTTTTGGAAAAAAAGTTTTAAAACAAAATACAAAATCCCGCCAGAAGTGCCATTTTTTTATCTCCTTTATGTAAACTTTCCAACCAAATTAAAAAGGAAAAAAATGGGATTTGCTAGGGTTTTATGAAAATTTTTCTTTATTTTTACCCCAGTCTTGGGAGTTGGGCTTAGTTGGGTTTTTTTTAAAAAATTTTTTTTGTTTTGTTACTCTTTATTGAAAAATTCATGAAAATTTAAATGTTTGGGTTTGGGGGTTCTTTTGGGTTTTAATTTTTTGCCTTAAAATATCGAATTTTTAAGGGATGGCCCGGGGCCCCCAAAGGGGCCCGTGAAAATTAGTTCGGGCCAGTGAAAATTTAATTAAATTATGTAAATATATAGTAGAATAAATTCAAAACTGGAATTCAGGCTAGTAAATTCAAAATCTTAAATTCATTGACTGTAATAATGGCTTACTGTTTGAAGTATTTTCCCTATTTTTAATTGAGTAGCTTTTGCATGCTTGTAGTTTGAAGGTAAGACCAGTTTCTCAAAAACATAAATATTGCTGATGTTTACCTAAAAATGAATGTGAATTTGACATTTTTTTCACTTAGTTTAAGGGTTTAATATGTTTGCAACAGGATTAAAAAATACATGAACCGAGTGAGTTTCAAAGATAGTGGTTTAATTTCAATGACAGACATTTAATACATGTACTTCTAAATGCAGCCATGCATTGATTTTCAAGAGATACATTTCAATTGGAAACAGAACAGAAAAAGGGCAAGTTTAATATAACTGACATTTAGAAACTTATTCAGGTTATTGCCCTTTTTTCGTTCAAAAAAGACAAAATTAACTGCGTCAAAGAAAAATTAATTGGGTTTCACCAGCTGATCCCGACCCGCCTGGGACCTTCCGCCCCGTCTATTAGGATCCATTCTGTTCGTTTTCAAACCCTATTTAAAAAGTAAAAAAACTGATGGCCCAAAAAAGCTGGATTTGAAACAGGGCTGCGCAAATCAGGCGGGTTTTGGTTTCCCTGCTGGTTTTGCAAACGCACTATTTTTTGGTTTTTTCCTACACAGCTCAATTTTAATTTCTTACTTTGCTTAAAGATTTATTCTTTATTAAAATTGTTTTTTGCAGGGTTTACTTCATGTTTCTGGAAACACAATATTTTTTATAAAATTTTTAAAAAATTTTTTAATTTTTTTTTTTTGGGTTTTTTTCCGGCTTTTTTCAAGGCCCTTAACATTTTCTGTCAAGTTAACCCCGTTTTCAGCCCCGTTAAAATTAATTTTGAAATGCAAATTAGAAAAATGAGAAATCCCGTTTATTTTTTAATTTTTATTTTTATATTGAAAAAAAAGCAAGTAATTTTTTTAAAAATTTTTTGGTTTAAATTTTTTTATGCTTTGAATAGGATTAAAAAAAAAGAAAAATTCAGTTAAAAAAAGATAAACAATCTTTTTGGTTTCATTTTTTTAAAAAAACATAAAAATTTTAAAAATTTTCAATTTGCTTTGATTTACATGCAGATTTAATTTACTCTGCAGGTTCTTTCAACCAGTAAAGTTTTAAACTCTTTTGTAAACACAAGGGTTTTAACATGGGCATCTTCGGATCCAGTTAACAGTCCATCAATTAAACTTTTTCCAATTTTTAAGTTTTTAAAAACTTTATTTAAAAAGTCTTGCATAATTATTTTCTAGAAGAATAATTATAAGGGTAAATGAGCCCCGTCACGACAAAATCATCATAGTGTGTTTGCGACCAGCATGGATCCAGACCAGCCTGTGCATCCGCGCAGTCTGATCAGGATCAATGCTGTTCGCTTACAAACCCTATTAGAAGTAGAGAAACTGATAGCAAACAGCATGGATCCTGATCAGACTGCACAGATGATGCGCAGGCTGGTCTTGATCCATGCAGGTCGCAAACGCCTTAAGTTTGTTTTGTCATGACACGGCTCATTAATATTGTGATGTTTGTTAAATTTTGGGATCTACTTGGTCTTCATGTATTATTCTGATTCAATTATTTTTGGCAGCTTTTAGAAATGATTACCAAGATAAATAGTCTTTCGAAGAGCATTTTAATATTCTGGTAAATATTCTAAAACAGTACAAAATGTACCATGTAGTGAATAAATATTGTAGCTTTTGTTAACAAAAAAAAAACCACATAGAAAACTAGTTTTTGAGATCATAAAATTCAAACCTTTTTTTCTTACAACAGGGGTGGCTCTATCAAGAAGAGTAGCCTTGGTTCCCCAGGCACAAATAAACAGGCAAGCTATGATGGTACTATGATAAAAGGTATCTCTACACAAGAAGCTATTGTCGAAAGAGCTAAACAGGTACCAACCTTGATACATATTTCATCAAAGATTTGATAATGCTTGTTCTAAGCCACATTACTCATTCTGTATTTGACATATTAGTCTCATGCAATTACCTTGTGGCAAAAGTAGCAAAGACAATTTTCAGTCCTCAGTACAAGATTTGTTTATCTTTTGCTGTTAATGAAGTTGTGACATCTCTAATTCTTTTCCCTTAAAGTTGCACGTCTCCAGATGAGCCAAACTATTTCAAGAAATTCAATCTTTAGAAAAATGTATAAAGGTATTAAGGAAAGTAAAAAAATTCAATATGAGTAATAAATAAATAATTATTTACATGTTATGTTCGATGAATGACTGATTTTGCAGTAAAAATCACTATAATTCTACTGTGTTACTAACCCAGTAAGAGGTATTTATGTATATTTTGACCTCTTTTTTTGGTAATTGATAAGGATTGTAAGTCCCATTTGGAATGTGTAAATTCCTTTCTTTGTTCACTTCACAGTATTTTACTTTTAAATACATTTTCAAAATTTTCATGAATAGTAGCATGAATCTAGAAGCATGCTGCTTAAATGTTAAAATCATTATGTATATATATGCAATAATGTGTTATGATTATGTTTGTTAATGTTTAGGAAGCCCAGGTGATGAGCCGTGTTGCCGAGTTACGAAAGGACGGTATGTGGTCTTCACGCAGACTTCCCAAGGTTCAAGAACCTCCAAGACCAAAGGCTCATTGGGATTACCTGTTAGAGGAAATGCAGTGGCTAGCAGCAGATTTTCAGCAAGAACGAAAATGGAAGAAAACCTGTGCAAGAAAGGTACTAGTACAGTGTATAATGTGTTTTAAATGTTGTATATTATACCTGTTCTTTTCTTTATAAATCAGAATTTGAATTTGAAAAAAAATGTTTCAGAATAATATCAGTTTGCAAGATGTCTTACTTTTTGTATATGTAAATACAGAAAAAGTATGGTTAATGATATTAAATGAATGATTGGCTGCGTGGGTAAGGGAACAGACTTTAAGTAACTGACCCTAATTGCTATAGATTTGAATCCCAAACAGAACTTATGTGGAAGCCTTTAAGCAAGCCTAAATTGATGATTCGGCTTCCTAAAGGTTGTGGCTTGTGAAACAATGCACAGTGTAAAACTCCACCAGGAAAGCTGGAAAGACCCCTTTGGCATGTTCCAACCTGCTTAAAGAAAATAATTGTATGAAATAAACTAAAAGTTAAATCATTACAATGATGAGTCGATGACGAGGCTGATTTGATACAACCAATTTCTAAAGAGGGCAGTTTTTGTTCTCTGTGAAACTAATTGTGTCAATTCTTGATGTTATCAGAGGCATTTGTCTGAGAAATGATTATGTGACCAATGTTTTTATTTAGCATAGAATAGAGAACCTTTTTCCAATGCACAAAAATGTTAAAAATTCTCAATTTTGTCAGATTTCTGAAAGTATTTCTTAGTCTAGTAATATAATGCGTTGCAAGTTTTTATTATTTAAGATAATTTCTATAAGAAAATAGAAATTACAGAATCTAATTTGATAAACCAATAATGGATTAGTTGGCTTGAAAATTTTAAATCATAGCCTTCTGTTTGCTTGTAAGGAATAATTTGCTGTTCTTGTTTGCTTTTTATGTTGATATTATTTGTTTCTAAACTATTTTGTGGTGAAAATTGGTGATTTGGAAAAAAAGACTGCTATTTTAATTTGGGTTATGAATATCATCAACAAAGGTGTGTTACAGTTTAATGATATTCTTGAAATTTTGTACAAAAAATCATTACCATGATGAGACGATGACGAGGCTGATTTGATACAACCAATTTCTAAAGAGGGCAGTTTTTGTTCTCTGTGAAACTAATTGTGTCAATTCTTGATGTTATCAGAGGCATTTGTCTGAGAAATGATTGTGTAATTCCAGTGAGGTATTTTTGCATTGGATAGTTTCCAAAACTGTTGATAATTGGCAATTTTGTCATGAAAATTCCTTAAAATTATTATGATTTCTCAAAACCAGCTCAACTTTACAAGCACAGACAAATTTTTCTGAAAAATTGAAAAGTTACAATTTGCATTTAAGTTATTGTGTGAATAAAAGGGAAAGAATTAAATGATTTTGTTAATTATTCCCAATTTTATTTTGTTTGCTAAATTTTCAAGACGTGGAAGGCATCAACTGTTCCTTTTAATCTTTAATAGTTTTTGTGATTCAAGATATATTTATGTGATGAATATTAATTTGTATGCAATTTTCAAATTATAGACTTTGAACTTCTTGTTTACACTGTAATGAGTAAAATGCTATTAATGAAATTATGATAAGCAATAAAGGAAAAACTGACTTAAAATACTTTTGATAATAGGCATAATGATGGGCTGTTATTGTAAATAAGCTGATTAAAAAAATTTGTTGTTTCTAAACTATTAAGTCGTGATGTGAGGGAAGTGTTGTTAAAAATTTGTTATGAATTTCATCGACAGAAGCATGTTAAATTAAATGCTTGAAATTTTGTAAAAAAAAATCATTACAATGATGAGTCGATGACGAGGCTGATTTGATACAACCAATATCTAAAGAGGGCAGTTTTTGTTCTCTGTGAAACTAATTGTGTCAATTCTTGATGTTATCCGAGGCATTTGTCTGAGAAATGATTATGAAGCAGGAATTATTTTTTTGCACAGGAGAGGCAGCTAATTAAAGGCCTCTCAAGTTCACAAAGCTGATGAAAATTCTTGATGTTGTCATGATAATTCCTTAACATTATGATTATTTCTCCCAATCAGCTAATTTTTTAGGCATGTGTAAGAATTCTTATGAAAATCACAATTAATAATTTCATTTTCATATGAATAAAGTTTGATATATTTTAGTTTTGTTGACTATTCCCAATTTTCTTTTGATTGTGTGTTAAACTTTAGAAATGTTGAAGTCATTGGCTGTTCCGATAAGTCTTTGACATTTCATAATTTTGTAATAATGTGAAAAGATTTTGCAAATCAAGATAAATTTATTTGATAGATATGTTACATACCATTACGTTTAATATTTGAGCCGCGTTATGACAAAACGTTTAACATTTGAGCCGCGTTATGACAAAACCACCATAATGATTTTGCCACCAGCATGGATCCAGACCAGCCTGTGTGTCCGCGCAGTCTGATCAGGATCCATGTTTTTCCCTTACAAACCCTATAACAAGTAGAGAAACTGATAATGAACAGCATGGATCCTGATCAGACTGCGCAGATGCGCATGCTGGTTTTGATTCCTGCTGGTCACAAACCCATTATGTTGGTTTTGTGATGGCGTGGCTCATTTGTCCTTTATTGTCTAAATAAAAGGCTTTATAAACTCATTATATACACTGAAATGACTAAAACAATATTAAACTAATTTATGAATTTACATAACAAATAATGGGTTATAATAAAGCCTTTGTTGTGCTTATAGGAACAACGAGCTGTTCTTTTGAGGAAACAATGAAATCAATACCCCGTGTTTCTAAACTATTTGATTGGTTATGCTAGGGGAAAGTTTACCAGTAGAATATTGTTATATTAGTATCAAATGATCATCAATAAAAACATGTTAATGTTAAAATGATTGAAATTTTGTACAAAAAATCATTACAATGATGAGACGATGACGAGGCTGATTTGATACAACCAATTTCTAAAGAGGGCAGTTTTTGTTCTCTGTGAAACTAATTGTGTCAAGTTTTGATGTTATCAGAGGCATTTGTCTGAGAAATGATTGTGTAATTCCAGTGAGGTATTTTTGCATTGGATAGTTTCCAAAACTGTTGATAATTGGCAATTTTGTCATGGAAATTCCTTTAAATTATTATGATTTCTTAAAACCAGATCAACTTTACAAGCACAGACAATATTTTTTTGAAAAATTGAAAAGTTACAATTTGCATTTAAATTATTGTGTGAATAAAAGGGAAAGAATTAAATGATTATGTTAATTATTCCCAATTTTATTTTGTTTGCTAAATTTTCAAGACGCCGAAGGCATCAACTGTTCCTTTTAATCGTACATAGTTTGTGTGATTTAAGTTATTTATGTGATGAATATTAATTTGTTGTGAATTCTAGCTTCTGCAATTTTCAAATTATTTAGACTTGAACTTATTGTTTACACTGTAAAGAGTAAAATGCTATTAAAAAAATTATGATAAGCAATAAAAGAAAAAACGACTCAAAATACTTTTGATAATAGGAATGATGGGCTGCTATTGAAAATAAGCTGATTAAAAAAATTGTTGTTTCTAAACTATTAGGTGGTGATGTGAGGGAAGTGTTGTTAAAAATTTGTTATGAATTTTATCAACAGAAGCATGTTCAATTAAATGTTTGAAATTTTGTACAAAAAATCATTACAATGATGAGTCGATGACGAGGCTGATTTGATGCAACCAATTTCTAAAGAGGGCAGTTTTTGTTCTCTGTGAAACTAATTGTGTCAATTCTTGATGTTATCAGAGGCATTTGTCTGAGAAATGATTATGAAGCAGTAACTGTTGTCAAATTTAATTTTTGATGTGTCAGTTGTATTATTTAATTTTTACAGTTATGAAAATCACAATTAACATTTTAATTATCATAGGAATAAAAATTTTATATAACAATTCCCAATTTTCTTTTGGTTGTGTGTTAAACTTTAGAAATGTTGAAGTCATTGGCTGTTCTGATAAGTCTTTGACAATTTGTAATAATGTGAAAAGATTTTGCAAATCAAGCTACAGTTATTTGTTAGATATGTTGCAGACCATTACGTTTAATATTTGTCTTCTATTGTCTAAATAAAAGGCTTAATAAACACAATTGTTTACTTAAATGACGAAAACAATAAACTAATTTACGAATTTACATAACCAATAATGGATTATAATAAAGCCTTTGTTGTGCTTATAGGAACAACGAGCTGTTCTTTTGAGGAAACGATGAAATCGATACCCCGTGTTTCTAAACTATTTGATTGGTTATGCTAGGGGAAAGTTTGTCAGTAGGATATTGTTATATTAGTATCAAATGATCATCAATAAAAGCATGCTGATGTTAAAATGTTTGAAATTTTGTACAAGAAAATCATTACTATGATGAGTCGATGACGAGGCTGATTTGATGCAACCAATTTCTAAAGAGGGCAGTTTTTGTTCTCTGTGAAACTAATTGTGTCAATTCTTGATGTTAGCCGAGGCATTTGTCTGAGAAATGATTGTGAAGTAGTTGTCAAAATAGAATTCTTGTTTGTGAGTAGTATATTTTAACAGTTTTGTCATTGTTGTTTGAAATCTTTTTTCAGATTGCCAAAATGGTACAGAAGTACTTCCAGGATCTTGAACAGAAAGAGTTGAGGGCAGAAAAAGAAGAAAGTATGAAGCTTAAAAGAATTGCCTCCAATCTTGCCAAGATGGTTAAAGAATTCTGGACCAATATCGAAAAGGTGCGTGTTATTACTATCCTTATTCATATTTACTCAGTTATAATGTACCTTGTGTAGAAATTAAACTGTAAAGATTACCCGGGTTTGTATGCTAGATTTTAATTGAAATCAGATGATTCTGTAATGTAAAAATTCAGTATTAATCAAAACTTGAATTGTAATTGGGCTTTATGTTAGCAGTTTACATATGATTATAAATCTATAAATAAAGTATTAATTAAATAAAAAAAACTTGTGCGCACATGGTTTGCCTGAATGTGTATGCATGTTACAATGGATAGTAAAATGAGCCGCGCCATGACAAAACCAACATAATGGGTTTGCGACCAGCCTGCACATCCGCACAGTCTGATCAGGATCCATGCTGTTCGCTTACAAACCATATAACAAGTAGAGAAACTGATAGCGAACAGTATGGATCCTGATCAGACTGTGCAGATGATGGTTTTGTAGTGACGCGGCTTAAATGTAGACATTTGTTATAAATAAAAACTTGTTTATGTTTTAAGGTTGTACAGTACAAACAGAACAGTCGTCTTGATGAAAAACGCAAGAAAGCCATGGACTTGCACCTGAACTTTATTGTCAATCAGACAGAGCAGTATTCTAATTGGTTATCTGAAGGTCTTGTCAATCAAAGCTCTAAAGGCTCATCTGTTGGTTCCATCACCCCTGATCATTCTGTGGCCGGAGACGGTAAATTTTTGTTCATGTTTTGCATTCTTGGCATTTTTACAATTGTTAAATATCTGTTGTTTTTATACTTGTTTGGGAACAAGCTTTAGTCTGTTGATTTTGACAAAAATTATTTCTATAATTGCTTATTGGGAAGTAAAGAAGTGAAGTAAAGTCAAAGTGAAATTAAACTATTTAATACTAGATATAATGTTTTGATTAGTATATAAAATTGATTCAAAACACTAAAACTGAGTTTGATAAGAGATTAGATAAGTTTATGACCACATTGCAAAGGCTTGTACAATTACAAGAACAGTTTCCTGTTGTTAATTTTGATGCAAAATAGAAGGGTCAATTGTAGAAATTTTTTTGAAACTATGGTGTTGTATATGTAGCTATGTTTTCATTTAAAATGTAGACGAGTTCAAACCGGATGTTGAAAGTGAATCTGATGATGAAGAAACCATAGAAAAAGATGAAGAAGGAATTGATGAGGTAGGTTACATGTAAATATATATTATACCTGCACGGCTTTTTTTTACAGGTTGAGGGAGCAGCCTTTCCCTTAAGTTTGGGGGAAAAATGCACGGTATATTTGCAAAAGGGGAAGAAAAAAACTTTATATAAATTCAATTTTTTGAGGATGACTGCATGATTTTAAAGAATTTTTCGATGGGGAAGCAGCCTTATAATAATGGCTCCTGCTGTAGAAGGAAAAAAGCCCTGACCTGTTACATGGTTAATTATAATACACTTGTGATAATCTATCCCTAACCCCCCCCCCCCCCCCCACCTTAACCCTTTAGTGGTTGGTGTGGGTATGAGATGTGCTGATTTATAGCGCCTTCCCTCAGTCAAAGAGTACTTACTGATCTATGCAATGTTTTGTTGTTGTTTCTTTGCCAAAAAAAACTGTTTTAATGCTTAACTTGAATTGCATAGCATGGATTTTGACCGTCTTGACTTGTCTCCTTAAAGTAGTATTACCTCGACTAAAATGATCCAAGTATTTTCTGGGCAGAGAGGCATGAATGATGCTATATATGATGTGATATATTTCCACGTTCTTCTCAAATGCTGATAGGGGCGTCCGCGGCCAAGTGGTTTAGGTTGTTGACGTCAAACCACTTGCCCCTCACCTCTGTGGGTTCCAATCCCAACAGGGACTTTGGATTCTTTCATGTGAGGGAGCTATCCAGCTAGCTTACAGAATGTCAGTGGTTCTACTCGGGTACCTGTTCGTGCCTGAAATAATGCACGGAAGGGCACCTGAGGTCTTCCTCCACCAGTAAAGCTGGAACGTCGCGATATGACCTATACTGTGTCAATGTGACGTAAAACCCAAAACAAACAAACAAATGCTGATATTGTAACTGCCACCATCATTTTAAAGTTGACTAACGTGTGATTTATCAATTGCTGCATAAATAACCTGAAGTTGAATTGAATTGATGCTATAATAAAGGGTTATGACAAAAGCAATAGTTTAAAATAAAAGTTTCCCAGATTGATTTCTAAAGTTTCCCTTGTGTTCAATAACAAATTTGTGGTAATTATGACTAAACTGTAGTAAACATCGAGGCATAGAGTCACTGGATCAATACATTGTTGTTTTAGTGCTGATGTTCTCGTAAAGTAAACGTCAGTATTATGCACCAGTCAGATTTTTCTAATTTGGTTGGTCACCTTAACCTGAGATACTAGAATAATGACGAAAAATTACATGAAGATTTATAATAGGAATTATCAGTGAAATGCAATGCAAGATGTTGCTGACATGAAGAAAATGAATCGAAGCATAGAGTCACTTTATCAATACATTGTTGTTTTAGTGCTGATGTTCTCGTAAAGTAAACGTCAGTATTATGCACCAGTCAGATTTTTATAATTTGGTTGGTCACCTTAACCTGAGATAACTGAATTTTAAAAACTTTTATGAAGATACAGGGTAACAGAAATTAATCACATTAGTTCTTTAGTATTTTGCAAAAAAATAACTTGTTACTAAAATCGAGACATAGAGTCACTGGATCAATACATTGTTGTTTTAGTGCTGATGTTCTCGTAAAGTAAACGTCAGTATTATGCACCAGTCAGATTTTTATAATCTGGTTGGTCACCTTAACCTGAGATAACTATGTATTTTAAACTTGTATAAAACTTGTAAGTAAAAGTTGAAAGGTAATTAACCAGTTTTACAATTAAGTTTATTTTTCATTGATTGTTCAGACCGAGACACAGGATGAAGTAGCTGCATTACAGAAAGAAAGTGAACTTCCCATTGAACAGTTAATTGAAAATTTACCTAAAGAAATCCTTGAAAAACCAGCACCAATACATTCAGATTCTGAAGATCAAGAAGAAACACCTAGCAAGGTAAATGTCTTATGAAATCTAACTCTATAAATTCTTTGACCTTGTTATATTTACATTGAAATTTGATGTTACTTAAAAAGTCTTAACATTATTATGTTATTCAAGATTTTGTGAACCAGATGGAGTGCCTATTTTGACACAAGATTACTTCATAAATGTAAGAACTAAAAATTGTAAGTGTGTTTGAGGTTTGGTTTTGGAATCAGTCAATTGGTGGTTAACTTTAATTGTTCATTTACATAACTTAGAATGTTGATGTTATAATTGCTACACCCAGCATCTGTTGAAAATATATGTGACATGATGTCTTTGTGTAGCATATAGTAATTGATGACTTATTACCAACATTTTTAGGAATTCTCTTTCCTCAAAGTGGTTGCTTAAGTTGTACACATAGTATGATTATTTTGGTCTCCTTAATTTTGTGTACAGTTTAAATTCTGCTGAATTTTGGTCATTTGTATGTGTGTGTGTGTGCATGAAGACTAGGTCAGTTACTGTACCTAGAATCAGTTAGAATGTTTTGTGTGACATTTGTAAAACATCTAAATGAATTATTGATACAGAATTAGCTCGGACAATTCATTATTGTGATATTTTATTAAAATATGGTGACATTTCACAGTCCAAAAGATGTTGCATTTGTTATTGTTCTTGGTAATTTTTAACCAGGTTTTCCGAAGAAAAAACTGGTTATTAGATTGAGGTATGTCGGCGGGCGGATGGGCGGGCGGACGGGCGGGCGGGCGTTAACAATTTCTTCTGTGCGCAACTCCTTCTACATTTCTCAACGGATTTTGACCAAACTTTCACAGAAACTTTGTCATCAAGTGCCCTGGCGCATATTGTCTGGGTTTTGCGATTGGATAATATTTGACCTAATTATGGCCCTTCGTTTTTTTTCCTTATATAGAATATATAGTGAACAATTTCTTCTTTGCACAACTCCTCCTACATTTCTCAACGGATTTTGACCAAACTTTCACAGAAGCTTTGTCATCAAGTGCCCTGGCACATATTGTAGGGGTTTTGCGATTGGATAATATTTGACCTAATTATGGCCCTTTGTTTTTTGTCCTTATAAAGAATATATAGTGAACAATTTCTTCTGTGCGCAACTCCTCCTACATTTCTCCACGGATTTTGACCAAACTTTCACAGAACCTTTGTCACCAATTGCCCTTGGGCATATTGTCTGGGTTTTGTGATTGGATAATATTTGACCTAATTATGGCCCTTTGTTTTTTTTCCTTATACTGAATATATAGTGAATAATTTCTATCGTGCGCAACTTCTCCTACATTTCTCAACGGATTTTGACCAAACTTTCACAGAAGCTTTGTTATCAAATGCCCTGGCGGATATTGTCGGGGTTTTGTGATTGGATGATATTTGACCTAATTATGGCCCTTTGATTTTTTTCCTTATACAGAATTATCCATATATAGTGAACAAATTCTTCTGTGCTGAACTCGTCCTACATTTTTCAACGGATTTTGTTCAAACTTTCACAGAAGCTTTGTCATCAAGTGCCCTGGCACATTTTGTCGGAGTTTTGTGATTGGATAATTTTTGACCTAATTATGGCCCTTTGTTTTTTTTCCTTATACAGAATATATAGTGAACACTACTCAGTGGCAATTCCTCCTACATTATTCATGTTTTACATTGCACATAGTTACATTGTTTGTTGCTTGTATTTGTATTTCAAATACAACATATTTATCTACAATGGTGATAATTGAAAACCTGGTTTCATGGCATTGCCATGTTTCTTGTTTCAATTGGCATTAAAAGGATGACAAGTTAATTTATTATGATCATAAAAGCTCCAATGAATGTCTTGGATCGTCTCTCGGTGTTTAAATGTCTGAAACTTTCATATGCCAGTGATTTTCCTCCTTATATGAGAGAAGGCCTCTTCCCAATTGTTATTTTCTTAAAATAATGCAGTTTTGCCATAAGTCTTAACTTACCCCAGCTTTTTTTGCCTCCCATATTAGCAATTTGAGCAATGATTTCTCTATAAGGCTATAGCTTCTTCCCAATTAAGTGAGAAAAACTACTGTAAGCTAGGTATTTTGTTTATTTTAGTAAAGAAAATATTCAGAATATTTAGTTCCAAAGCTCTGGTTTTGTAGATATAAAGGTTTGCTGCTTTAGAGTAACCAATTAGTTTGTTTTTATAGAAATTTCATATTCATTATCTATTCTTGAATGTTGATGTTATAATTGCTATACCCAGCATCAGTTGAAAATATATGTGACATGATGTCTTTGTGTAGCATATAGTAATTGATGACTTATTACCAACATTTTTAGGAATTCTCTTTCCTCAAAGTGGTTGCTTAAGTTGTACATAAAAAATTATAAATCTGCTGAATTATTAAAGTTATTTAGATCTATTGTTTCAAATACAGTCCAAATAATGTTGTATTTGCTGTTGGTCTTGGAAATTTTTCCAGTTGGCATAATTTTGATGATGAAAGTTAATTTGTTATGATTATAGAAGTTCCAGTGAATGGCTTGGAATCATCTCGGTGTTTTAAGTGTTTTAAATTTTGATATGCTAGGTATTTTGTTCACTTGGTCTGTTAAAAAATGTACATAAATTTTGTGAGGAAACTAGGCTACATACAGTATGAATTTACATAATGATACCAAAAGTATAGAAAATATTTAGAATTTTTAGGTCCAAAGCTCTGGCTTAGTTGATACATCGGTTTGCTGCTTAATTATCAATTTCTTAGCAGATTGCCATGGTAGACATTCTACATTCATCAAAGATTCTTTAATGTATATTTTAAGGATATAAATTGCTATACCCAGCATCTGTTGAAAATATATGTGACATGATGTCTTTGTGTAGCATATAGTAATTGATGACTTATTACCAACATTTTTAGGAATTCTCTTTCCTCAAAGTGGTTGCTTAAGTTGTACATGTGATTATTTATTGAACCTTTTTATAAATATTTACATATGTAATTAAGAATTTAAGTCAGTATTTCAAATATGTGTTGTATTAATATTTTTTTATTCACCACATGTAAACATGTTTGAAATTTGTAAATAAATTGTAACTTGATCAGACATTATGGTAAGTCTGTTGTAGAATAGGACTGTTAGCAAATTGGTAATATCATTGAAATAGGTAATCATTTAACGCAGAGTAAGATTGAATAAAGAAGGTAGGCAGTTTAACCTATGTGCACCATCTCAGTGATCAAGAGGCTAAGGCCTCTTCCCAATTAAGTGAGAAGAATCACTGCATCTTACATAAAAAATGAGCACTCGGAGGTGTCCAAAAAAACCTGGCATTAAAACGGTATGTTATAAACTTAATTTGTATTTATTTACAGAAAGATAAAGATGAAGAGTTTGAAGCTGACGATGATGACTCTGATATTGAAGAAACTATAGAAGAACAAGAGAAACAGGAAGCTGGGGATTATAATGAAGAAATGGATGATCTGAAAAATGAAGGTAAACAATATTCATCATTTAACATTGCTGAAATTTGTATATTGACATTAGTACTGGTTAATTCTTGGAAATAGTTAGAGCTGTCATCGATATCGACAATATCGATGTATCGTTGATATTTTTTTGTCGATCAATAATCGATACACATTTTAAAAAATCGATACTTTTGACTTATTAATTAAATGCCTAGAAATTATACAATTCACCCAAAATATGTGCAGAAACAATTATTTATATCAAATGTGATGCTTTTGTTATATAGTGGATTATTTCATAGCAATGGTGACAAAAAATATTGTCTAGAAAAAATCATGCAGTGGACAAGACACTGTACAGAACATGTTTTTGACTGAAATCATTGAAACAGGTATGAAAATGAATGACAGACAAGTGAGTATAGGATATTATCGATATATCGGTGTATCGTTGATTTTAGTTACTTGATATCGATATATCGTTGATATGCTTTGCACTGAATCAATGACAGCTCTAGAAATAGTCTTGTTATAAGAACTTTTTGTTGGAAGATTTAGCTTAAAAAAACATGCTTGAACTAACACATGTTCTACATATTTGTAATTTGTAAATGTTTACTATGTAGAATATAAGGTTCAATATTGCTGAACATGTTGTATTTAGGGAAAATGCTGGCACTGGTGTCCCCTTCGTAATCTTTACTATACAAGTGATTGTCACATATTGACGCCAAGCTGACCAGTGTTACATGCATAGAACCAAGTGATGAAGTGTGTCTAGTGTGCCTTGGTTTTAGGAATTTTGGTAAAAAATACACGCAAGTTGTGTTATCAGAATTTTCCTTTGCAAACTTTTTCCCTTACCAACGCACCTGTTTGATAATTTGTCAAAACAGGAATTTTCATTGTAGGGATAGATGAAATGTCCTGACTAAAAAACTCTTGTGATATTTATACCATAAGAATCCTGGGTCAGGAGACATAATTTTTTGCTATTATTTTGTTGGAAAAATGAAGACCCTGTGCCTGTGTGGGTGGGTAGTAATACTAAGTGAAACAGCTGTTCATAAATATTATGAGCTTTTCTTTTGACAAAAATATGTTCTTAGTTACATAAATTAGTATACAAACAAAACCGTTGTAGAACTTCTTTTTGCTCCTTACAACTCACTTTCATAATTAGAATTACAAAAGATCTTGATTTACTAAAAAATAACCAAGAAAATGATAATATGTTGATAGCATTTGATTTCCGGAAATAGTACCATTCAGTACAGAATATACCCCCCCAAAAAAATGGCAGCACCCCTGTTCAGACACTACTTGCAGTTTCCTTCAATGGTTTTGGTTATTTTGGACTACAATGGATGGGTTTTATTTGCTAAAATGGAAAAACATAATATTTTTCTCCTTTTAAGCACTTTATCCGTTTGCAATTCACAGGGAAAATAGAATTTTTGGGAAAAAACTTGGCTATTTTTACCGAGGGAAAGACACCGACTATGGGTGTCAATTTGTAAGTTAAAAAAAAAACCTGGAAACCTTCCCTCAATTTTCAAGGACAAGTGGTACATGTATGTACCCTTACATTTGAGACTGAGTGGGCATGCTGATTGATACATGGCTTACTATGTAGAATATATATTGAAGGTTTAGTGCTGAACATTGTTGTATTTAGGGAAAATGCTGGCACTGGTGTCCCCTTCGTAATCTTTACAACACAAGTGACGGTCACATATTGACACCAAACTGACCAGTGTTACATGTTAAGTTATCCTTGTTATTACATTGTGTGTCTTGGTTTTAGGAATTTTGGTAAAAAATACACGCAAGTTGTTTTAACAGAATTTAAGTTTACAAACTTTTTCCCTTACCAACGCACCTGTTTGATAATTTGTCAAAACAGGAATTTTCTTTGTAGGGATAGATAAAATGTCCTGACTAAAAAACTCTTGTGATTATTATACCATAAGAATCCTGGGTCAGGAGACATTATAATTCTTTGCTATGTTTTTGTTGGGGAAAAACAGTGAAGTTAATAGATAAGTGAAAAATACAATTATATATAAATATATATTTCTTCAGGTGAGATGGATATTGAACAATTACGAGCAAAGTATGCAGGAGCTTACGACTCTGATTTTGAAATGCCTGCAGATAGTGATGAAGAATCCACCGATATCAATGATTCTGATGATGATTCAGATGATGAAGAAGAGGAATCTGAAGGTTAGTGATGGAAAATGTCCCAAAATTTCTCTTATTTTGCCTTTAATCAAAAGACCTAGACATGGTGCAAAATAACCACTTCCTGTGTGTCTGTATTTGTAATGATACCATTGATCCTGATTGTTGATTCTGGAAACCTAATGTTAAAAGAAACTTGCCTATTTTGGTATTCGAATCCACAATCTTTAGAGGTCTGGTGTTTTATCCCAGCACAACTTATTCTTCCACTTGTCATTAAAAGCATTTAAGGATGATTCATGTTTTCTGTGTATGCAGGTCTTTGCTTGCATATTGCTGAAATATACATGGGGAACAATCTGACAATGCTTCTACTAATGATTTAGATCTTGCCAGGGCCGGCAAAATCAATTGTCCGAGTTGCCCGAGTCGTAAAATTGTAGGTCCGGGCAAGTAAAATTCTGCAGTTTACTTGTCCGTGGACAAGTAAATTTCGGCGGCTAATTAAGAGGAATTCTGAAGAAAAAAATCTAGTTCTTTTCTAATAGATCTAAATCAGAAGGAAAATCACACATTTAATACGAAAACTAGCATGTCATTCATGAGGGCATTCCGTGCATATTAGGGTGTTACTATTTTAAGTGTTTACATAAATAGCGACCAACCAGGCTTGGGGTTTTCCTTACGTCATGCAGTTACTGCATGCGCGCGGCAATTAACTAATTATTGAACGTATCAAGGTCACTATGTGGGGTACATGTTTGTTTTGGTTAATGACTGCCGACTAAGCTTCTGCAATAAAATATTTTCGGTAGCAACGGTGATTCTGCCATAAAATTGACTTGGAAGCTGTGGTCTTTTCAAGCGCATTTATTGTTTAGATAGCAGATACAGCATCAATCTCGCAACAATTGTCTGTGTTGTATGAAAATTAAATACATTGTATAGCTTTTCCAGGTCATTCGGGAATATGTACGCTCACATCGGCGATTTGACTGCTTGAATTTATGTGTTGACTGCTTGAATTTATGTGGACAAAGTCATTTTATAATTTATTTTATGTAAAGATTTCTTGTGAAAATGCCTTTGTTTTTGAATGTCAGTTTCATCGTCGCCTATGATAATGATGTCAAAATTTTCACAATTCATCTGCTGCAACCAAGCGTATATACGTATATGATATTACATTCTGTGGCAATCATAATTATATCGTTAAAAAAAGCCAGATGTCATCAATTTGACAAATCTAACTCAAGAGTACATATGATTTTTTAACAGGATTCAAATGAATATTATATAGATGAATGAATAAATAAGAAATGGTACCAGAGTGCAAAAAATATGAAGACAATACTTTAGAGCAATTTGGGTGCAAGGAAAACTGAAAAAGTGCTGGCAAAAGACCAATGCTCCTTCCAGTAAAATATACACAATTTGTCCATCACTGTCGTTCTAATTTAATCTACTGTCGTTAATATTTTATAAATATATTATATTACAATCATAATATATTATATTATTAAACATATGGCACAGAATGTTTAATAAAATTGAAAGAAAGTTCATAATCATATTGCTCTTCTTTATTGACATTTGCAGTAAATATAAAATATAAATACGGACAAGTGAACCTTGAGTACGGACAAGTAAATTTCTTAGGTTATTTCTCCGTGGACAAGTACAATTTTCTGAGATTTTGCCGGCCCTGCTTGCTATTCTTATTGTAACCAAACTTGATAATGCAAAAGTGCCTGCTCATGGTTCTTAGATATTTTGTATTCCTGTTATATTTTAAGATTGTTACACATGGATGAGTGGTTATGATTTTTTTGCACTGATCAAGTCATCCAGAAACTTTCATTTTTGGTTTGTTGCTTATTGAAATGAAGTATGCTTAAAGAGGTGCTTTGGCATTGCCTCCTATTACAAGACGGATAGTGTGTATAGTGACCTTAATATTAGTTTATAATAGCCACTTGAAGCTAGATTCAAGAACAAATTAAAAATATCACAAACCATTGTCGACATTTGACAATAATTTGGACGTTTTGAATTTTTTTTCAGAGGAAGAAGAAGAGGATGAAACCATGGAAACAGAAGAAGCTGATCAAGATGTTGGCCTAGAGGCACTGATGGATAATGAGAAAGGTGAAGATAAAAATAAAAAGGTAATCACAGTCCCAATTACATCAATGTATCTTATCAAAATTTTTATTAGTTCTTGGAGAGTTCAAAGTTGTGAAATTCATGTTTCAGTAGATATGATAAAAAAGGAGACTTTTGCATATTTTTCTGCCACTTACATTTGACATTGATATTATCAATATAAGATTTCTTCCTGTGTTTACATAAACTTTTTCAATTGCCTAATTTTATTTCGAATAAAAAATCTATAAGGAAATGAGTGGCCAAAATCCTATGAAACATCGACCACTGGTAAATTATTTGTGATTTATTGGTGTTTATAGTTTTCAAAGATAAAACTTTCAGTGTACTTGCCCCGGTCCACCATGTGGTTTGACTGGTTTCACAAGACTGATACATTTATAGATAAATAAAGCCAGAAATATTGAAATGAGGGATGAGTGATAGGAAGATTGATGTTTCAAAAATTGTTAAAACTTATTTTATATTATTAGTCCTGTGAACTATGAATCCTTATAATGTTAAAAATGATGATGAAAAAGTGACGGGCGGACATAAAACCTTTGCTGATTGTCACATAATGTATCTGATTTAATATATAATTTGAAGTGGTATTAATTCTTTTTATGCAGTATTTACTACAGTGACATTAGAAAAAACAAACTGTTCAGTCAAGAGAATTGCAAAAAAAAAAAAATCATCTTGGGTGAATTTGTTGTCAAAATGTTAAGATTTAGAGAATACGGGTTAAATTAACCTTTTTACTGAACTGTTTTAATATGTATATGCTGTATAGCAACTGCAGTGTTTCTTTTTAGACAGAATGTTATCACTTGTTAGATAATCTGTTAATTTTTATGAGCCCTTAATATGGTTAAACCCTCAGATTTCGTCAAATAAAGCATTACAAGGCATCGAATGTTGGAAATGGGTTATCTTCTTTGTGTAATTTATGAGTACAGTTCCATGTTCTTTCACTATTGAAAGAAGAAATTGTAAGACTTGTGTCTTCAAAGTGATGATGTGTAAGTGACGGGCGGACATAAAACACCTTGCTGATTGTCACTTTATGTATCTGATTGAAATTCTTTTTGAAATAATACTTGCCTTAGTGATAACTGGTTTTAATTATTCAAAATGATGATGAAAAAGTGACGGGCGGACATAATTTACAATTGCTGAATGTCACGTTTAACTCTGACTGAATATCTGACATTTGTTGATTGATGTTTCAAAAACTGTTAAAACTTATTTTATATAATTACTCCTGTGAATTAAAAATCCTTGTCATTTTAAAAGTGATGATGAAAAAGTGACGGGCGGACATAAAACCTTTGCTGATTGTCACATAATGTATCTGATTTAATATTTAATATATAAAGTGGTTTTAATTTGTTTTAGGGAGTATTTACTACAGTGATTTAAAAAACAATTTAGTAAAGATTATTATTTAACCTATAAATTACAGAAATAAAAAATACTGTTCTGTGTTAAATGAATTATACAAGGGTTATATTATTTTCTAGTAACAGTTCATTATATACTTATATAAATGAAATATTGAAAAATATTGATATAATGCATTCTTTATGTTGCTATATTAACTAAATTAATCCTGTAAACTTTAAATACTTCAAAGAACTATAAATCCTTATCATTTTAAAAATGATGATGAAAAAGTGACGGGCGGACATAAAAACTTTGATGATTGTCACATTATTTATCTGATTTAATATTTGAAGAGGTATTAATTTGTTTTAGGGAGTTTTTACAAGTAAATCAAAAAACGGTTTAGTTAAGATTGTTACTTATCAATTATTTTCCATTATAGAATTAAAAAAGTATTTTTCTGTGTTAAGTAGATTATACAGGGGCTTTAATTATTATATGATTACTGGGTATATTTCTTGCAACATGTTGAAAACCACTAAAATACCTTTTTAACATGTTGACAACCACTAAATTATCATAAGTAATGTTCTGTTATAAGCATGCCTTTTGGCTGGTACTTAAAAATATTTACCTTAAGCTGCAGTCGGGCATTACAAAATCCTTTAGTATAAGATGTAGCACTAAAGATTTTGTCTTAATTTGTATGATCAGAATCGAAACATCGACCGCTGGTGAATGTTTCTATTTCATCAGTGTTTATTTAAATTTTTGTAGATCAACTGTCAGTGTACTTGCCCCAGTCTACACCTTTCTGTAGCTCTGGTTTCACGTGACTGAGACAGTGTTTTTATGCACAATTTATACCCGTTATCACATGATCTGACTACCACCAGGGACATGAGTTTATTTCATGTGAGGAAGGTATCCAGCTTGCTTTTAGCCCACTTTAGCTTTAAGAAATAAATGGAAAGCACATGAGGTCTTGGCTGAATAGTTGAATGACCTTAACTGTTGTTGCAACTTCAAAACCAAACCAAATACAACAAAAATAATGTTCCGTAACAGGGGTTTTATTATTACCTGGTAACTGGGTATATTTCTGGTAACATGCTGAAAACCACTAAAATATCTTTTTAACATGTTGACAATCACTAAATTATGTTTAGTAATGTTCTCTAATAAGCATGCCTTTTGGCTGGTACTTAAATATATATTATATGATTACTGGGTATATTTCTTGCAACATGTTGAAAACCACTAAAATACCTTTTTACAACCAATTAAATATCTTTAGTAATGTTCTCTACTAAGCATGCCTTTTGGCTGGTACTTAAAAATATTTACCTTAAGCTACAGTTGGGCAAAAAAATATTTACCTTAAGCTGCAGTCGGGCATTATAAAATCCTTTAGTATAAGATGTAGCGGAAAAAAGATTTTGTCTTAATTTGTATGATCAGAATCGAAACATCGACCGCTGGTGAATGTTTCTATTTCATCAGTGTTTATTTAAATTTTCGTATATCAACTGTCAGTGTACTTGCCCCGGTCTACACCTTTCTGTAGCTCTGGTTTCACGTGACTGAGACAGTGTTTTTATGCACAATTTATACCCTTTATCTGCTAAATTTCTTGCATGATCCTCGAGGGACATGAGTTTATTTCACGTGAGGAAGCTATCCAGCTTGCTTTTAGCCCACTTTTGCTTGAAGAAATGCATGGAAAGGTCTCGGCTGAAAAGTTGCCTTATGTATGACCTTAACAGTGTTGTTGCAACTTCAAAACGAAACCAAATACAACAAAAATAAAGTTCTGTACATATGCCATTCTGAGAGTACATTTACAAATGTGACAAAATTTTCTACCCTAGTAGAACCATAAGCTAGGTGGAGGATAGCTTCCTGACATGAAATAACCCAGAATTATAGAACCTGATCTGGCTGGATGTGCAGGCTTCTCCAACTATAGTTAATATTTTCAGTTAAGGTTTCACTTTTGTGAGTGATGAGGACAATTTAATATTTATTAACATGTTTTAACATCATTATGTTTTGTGTTTCTACAGGCTGGTGAGGACGGCCCAGGACAAGAGTTGTCAGATATTGCAGCACAGGCTGCTAGTCTTCAACCCAAAGGTTATACTCTCCAAACTACAGAGGTAATACACCAGTTTTATTTAAATATCATATCTTTAAAGATGAAGTGTAATAAATCAACTTTTAGACTGGTTTTCATCCTTGTTCCTTTTCTCTACAACATTATTTCATTTATGTTCTGTTTGACAAACTTAATCCTGCATAGAATATTTGAATAATCTAAAAAGCCTGTAGAAAATATGCATTAGCCAAGAAGTGTTTAAAACCTTTAAAAGAAAAAAAAGAGGAAGTAAAATACAGCGTAAGAAAAGAGGGTTATGAAAGAATCCAAATTATTTTTTACATGTTTAAGAGCAACCAAATTATGTACACTACAGGGCTCTCTATTGATTCATGTATTGTAGACAAATGACGCAAGAAAAACTGATTTTACTTGTGTGAATTTTGGCCAAAGAGTGTTTGACCCTACTGAGAGCCCTGCACTATTTATATTGTCCAAGTTTTAAAGTCTTGGGTATACCAGGTCAAACTTAAATGTATTGTTAGACTATTAATAACTTTAATTATAGTACACCAGTAGTAAAAATGAGGTCTAGTTTAATCAGTATTGTGGTATTTGTTACCATGGATACAAATAGACCTCGAAGATAAAATGATCTGAATTATTGCTCTGGCTACCTTCTTACATGAGGTACTCAGATCTCATGTCAGATATAACTTTAACTATTTATTCTCATTTTGTGTATTAAACTGTAATTAAATAAACACTTGAAAATTACTCGGTTATCACCTCTCTCTTCAGGTGAAGACATGCGTTCCATTCTTGTTGAAGCATACATTGAGAGAATACCAACATGTTGGTTTAGACTGGCTCGCTACTATGTATGAGAAACGTCTTAACGGAATTCTAGCCGATGAAATGGGACTGGGTAAAACTATTCAGACCATTGCCTTGATAGCCCATCTTGCATGTGAAAAAGGTAAATACATTAGCAGGGATTTACATCACTGTGAGTTTTCATGCAAGTTCAGTAATTAAAAGGGTCCAATCAATAAATTCTTGATATCCAACTACTAATTTCAGCAGTTCAACTCCTTGCTAAACACAAATGCTTACTTATTTTATCTCTCTGGCGTGGGTTCGATCCCTGGGAGATGCTTTGGTAGTTTAGCGCGGAGGAAGGTAGTCTAGTACTGGTGTAACTCTAGGAACAATGGTTAGGAAACTACCCGCCTATATGCCTGAAATACTGTTGGGAAAAGGCGTAGAATGAATCGAACAAACAAACAAAACTTATTTTATGTTATAATGTTTATATTGCTGAGCCAGCATTATATCTTTTATGCATTCACTTGGATGTAAGAACTTGAGAATTGTGCATCAGAGAATACTTATTAGGGGTATATAGATGCAGGATCCTGCATTCAGTAAATCGCTGCATTACTTTAGTAAACTGTAGAAAAGCTAAAATGATTGTAATTGTAACAAAGTGATATAAACAAAGTGATATAAACATTGTGAAAAAATGATTCCCTTTCAACGCACCTGTGTGATGATTTTTATCATAACAGGATTTAAATATGAAGGGATAGATAAAACGTCTTGACTATAAACTCTTGTTGTAAAAATACCTCAAGAATCCTGGGTCACGAAACATTAGCAAACAAAAAACAAACAAAAAAATCCTAAAAACACAGCAGTTTTTCTTGATGGAACTGTATGAAATGTTCTTTGTATATGGATTTTATTAAGGGTATAGAAAGTCTTTCATTTATTTAAAATTGACAGTCTTATTTATTAAACACTGCCATTACCCCCTCTCCCCTCTTAGTACTTGTTATGAAAGCTTAAAAACTTAACATATTTTGTGTTTCAGGAATATGGGGTCCACATCTGATAGTTGTACCCACTAGTGTGATGTTGAATTGGGAGATGGAATTTAAAAAATGGTGCCCTGCATTTAAAATTTTGACATATTATGGCAGTCAAAAGGAACGTAAACAGAAGCGTACAGTAAGTGTATACTGTTATCTAAAATCTACATTATCGTACATCATTATAACAGTGATTCAAGGTAATAAAGCATCCATGGCAGAATGGTTAAAGTTGTTAATTTCAAACGATTTGCCCCTCACTGCTTTGGGTTTTGATCCTAACAGGGACTTTGGATTCTTTCTTGTGAGGAAGCTATCAGTAAATGATTTTAAGATTTTGAATTTACTACCCCGAATTCAAGTTTTGAATTTATTCTACTATATATTAAACTTAATTTTCTTAAAATTTTCACTGGCCTGAATTAATTTTCACTGGCCATGGGCCACCGGGCCAGTACTAAATTCGATGACTGAGCTATCCAGCTATTTTAGCTTCAGTGGAATGTTGGTTGTTTTACTTGGGTGCCTGATGCACGACTCGACCAGTAAAGCTACAAAGTGGGCATATGACCTAAACTGTGTTTGTGCAAAGTAAAACTAACGGAAAGAAAAATAGTGTTGTATGATTTGAAGTAAAATCCAATCTCTGTGATTATATAGGAAAAGTAAGACGGGGTTTCTACATATTTTTGTTGTGTAATGCTGGTATTTCTCCAAAAATATTCATAAGAAATGAACAAATGGGAAATATGCTTATATGTACCATACTTTTTTTTTGCAGGGGTGGACCAAAACCAATGCCTTTCATATTTGTATTACCTCGTATAAACTAGTGATACAGGACCATAATGCTTTCAGACGCAAAAAGTGGAAATATTTGATACTTGATGAGGTATGAGATAGCTTAACATTAAAGCTTAATATTATTTGTTTCCTACTGAATTCCAGTTTAAGATAAAAAAAAAAAAAAAATGTTTATTTTGATTGCTTCAGGGATTCCATTCTTGTCTTCTTTTGTTATTAGTAATGCAATTTATCATTTAATGCTATTTTGTCCTTTAGATGAGCATTTTTGTACCTTTTTGCAGGCTCAAAATATTAAGAACTTCAAATCGCAGCGTTGGCAGTGTTTGTTAAACTTTAACAGTATGAGAAGATTGCTGCTGACTGGTACACCATTACAAAATAGTTTGATGGAATTATGGTCCCTTATGCATTTTCTGATGCCACATGTGTTCCAGTCTCATAAAGACTTTAAAGAATGGTTTGCTAATCCACTGACCGGAATGATTGAAGGGAGCCATGAATACAACGAGAATCTTATCCGACGTTTACACAAGGTGAGCTGAAGTCACATAATGTATTTGAGCCGCGTCGCGACAAAACCAACATAATGGGTTTGCCACCAGCATGGATCCAGACCAGCCTGCGCATCCGCGCAGTCTGATCAGGATCCATGCTGTTCGCTATCAGTTTCTCTACTTGTAAAAGGGTTTGTAAGCGAACAGCATGGATTTTGATCAGACTGCGCGGATGCGCATGCTGGTCGCAAACCCATTATGTTGGTTTTGTCGTGACAAATGATAGTGGAGATGAAAATATTTGTATTATTTCGATGTACATGTATTTCATTTGTGACGGGTGAATTATTGACATAATTAATTGTAATTTATGCTTGAATGTAACTTGTATTCTTTTCAATATAAAAATACTAAGCTGTGTAGCTGACCAGTTTATATAGACAGTGCATTGTCGGCAATTTCGATGTATAGTTAAAAAAGTAAAAGTAAGAAAAAAAATTCTATTGTTTGAACTGTGAGCACTGCTTTATGTTGAGAAATGATAGCCTGGCTGTGTTATGTACCAGTTGAGGTGAGTTTTCTCATAGAGAAACAGTCTGTAACATCCATCTGAGGTGGCTTTTTTACCACACTGGATCAGCTTTCACAGAAACAATTGTTTGATAAATAAATGAAATGGTAAGGTACTGAAATGAAATGGTAAGGTACTGAATTGTGTTGAGAAATGATAGCCTGGCTTTGTTATATACCAGTTTAGGTGAGTTTTCTCAAAGAGAAACAGTCTGAAATATACATCTGAGGCGGCTTTTTGCCACACTGGATCAGCTTTCACAGAAACAAATGTTAAATAAGTAAATGAAATGTGGAGGTACTGAATTGTGTTGAGAAATGATAGCCTGGCTTTGTAATATACCAGTTTAGGTGAGTTTTCTCAAAGAGAAACTGTCTGTTGCATTCATCTGAGGCGGCTTTTTGCCACACTGGATCAGCTTTCACAGTAACAATTCATTGTAAGAATATATGTAGAAATATGGAGATACCGAATGTGTTGAGAAATGATAGCCTGGCTGTGTTATTTACCAGTTTAGGTGAGTTTTCTCAAAGAGAAACCTGTCTGTTGCATTCATCTGAGGTGGCTTTTTACCACACTGGATCAGCTTTCACAGAAACAAATGTTAGAAAAATTATAGAAATGTGGAGGTACTGAATTGTGTTGAGAAATGATAGCCTGGCTTTGTTATATACCAGTTTAGGTGAGTTTTCTCAAAGAGAAACAGTCTGTAACATCCATCTGAGGTGGCTTTTTACCACACTGGATCAGCTTTCACAGAAACAAATGTTAGAAAAAATAAAGAAATATGGAGGTACTGAATTGTGTTGAGAAATGATAGCCTGGCTTTGTAATATACCAGTTTAGGTGAGTTTTCTCAAAGAGAAACAGTCTGTTGCATTCATCTGAGGTGGCTTTTTGCCACACTGGATCAGCTTTCACAGAAACAATTCATTGTAAGAATATATGTAGAAATATGGAGATACTGAATTGTGTTGAGAAATGATAGCCTGGCTTTGTAATATACCAGTTTAGGTGAGTTTTCTCAAAGAGAAACAGTCTGTTTCATTCATCTGAGGTGGCTTTTTGCCACACTGGATCAGCTTTCACAGAAACAATTCATTGTAAGAATATATGTAGAAATATTGAGATACTGAATTGTGTTGAGAAATGATAGCCTGGCTTTGTAATATACCAGTTTAGGTGAGTTTTCTCAAAGAGAAACCTGTCTGTTGCATTCATCTGAGGTGGCTTTTTGCCACACTGGATCAGCTTTCACAGAAACAAATGTTAGAAAAAATGTAGAAATATTGAGATACTGAATTGTGTTGAGAAATGATAGCCTGGCTTTGTTCTATACCAGTTTAGGTGAGTTTTCTCAAAGAGAAACCTGTCTGTTGCATTCATCTGAGGCGGCTTTTTGCCACACTGGATCAGTTTTCACAGAAACAATACAATGCTAGATAAAATAAAAGAAATATGAAGGTACTGAATTGTGTCGAGAAAACAGGATGTGGGGGTATCCTTGTCACATGGGCACATTTCTAGTTTCTTACATTGCTAAGGTTAAATCTTGAACAAAACACAAATGTTTATTCATTATTATTCTGTTTCGTTGTAGGTATTGCGTCCATTCCTTTTAAGACGTTTAAAAGATGATGTAGAAAAACAGATGCCCAAGAAATATGAGCATGTTGTAATGTGTCATCTCTCGAAACGTCAACGGTTCCTATATGATGAATTTATGGCTCAGGGAAAGTAAGTATTTGCTTTACAGAATAATGCTTGCCTTATTAACACTTGTTTCATAGTTTGGTGACCTTTCTGTTGAAAATGTGTCAAGAGTTAAATCGTATACATATACATGCACAGTGCATTAAGTGGAGTGCATGTATTAGTAAGTGGAGTACATGTATTAGTTACCTGCACTCCAGAGCATGCCCTTTGATTGGCTCATTTTTGCTGGGGTATACTTATTGTGAAGGAAGAGAAAGGGAAAGCGATAGAAATATTATATTCAGATGCTGGTTTATTGGTAACTTTTTTAGCTCGACTTTTCTATGAAAAGGGGAGCTATCCTACTCGCCCCGGCGTCGGCGTCGGCGTCACACCTTGGTTAAGTTTTTCGTACCACCCCACTTTATTTCAGAAGTATTACAAGTATGGCTTTGAAACTTACCATACTTGTTCACCATCATAACCTCCATCTACAGACAAGAGTACATAACTCTGTCAAGGTTTTTGACAGAATTATGGCCCTTTTTTGACTTAGAAAGTGTATTGAGCTTGGTTAAGTTTTTTGTACCACCTCACTTTATTTCAAAACCATTGGAGGTATTGCTTTGAAACTGACCATACTTGTTTACCATCACGACCTTCATCAACAGACAAGAGGACATAACTCTGTCAAGGTTTTTGACAGAATTATGCCCCTTTTTGACTTAGAAAATACATTGAATATGGGTAAAATCCACTTATTGCCTTAACCCTTTGAGATATTGCTTTGAAACTTTTAATGCTATTTCACATCATTACCCCCATCTGTACGCAAGAGAAGGTAACTCTGTCAGGGATTTGTTTTAAAAATTAAGGCCTTTTATCGACTTAGAATCTTGGTTAAGTTTTTTGTACCAGTCAACTTTTTGACTGAACTGGTTGAGATATTAAATTGAAAGTTGGAATACTTGTTTACCATCATGGTCCCAAACATGGGCAGGAGAAGGTAATTCTGTTAAGGATTTTATTTGAATTATGGCCCTTTTTGACTTAGAAACTCAGTTAAAATTTTCATTCTTGTCCACTTGTTGACCTAACCATTTGAGATATTACTTTGGAAGTTGGAGTTCTTATGTGCCATCATGAGACCTATCTGTAAGCAAGAGAAGATAACTCTGTGAAAATGTTTCTTGATTTGTACTTAGAAATTCCTAGTTAAAGTCTTGTGTGCCCTTAACTGTCAAAGTTTTGTTTTATAGGCAAGCACTAAAAAAGTCGAGCGCGCTGTCCTTCTGACAGCTCTTGTTTCTGGAGTGCTACGCCCCCTCTTAAAATCAGATAGCCTTTGCCATCAGTACAGAAATTATGATAGGCCACTTGTGCAGTCTAACCAGACTGAAAACTGTTTGCAGAAAGTGACTAATAGATATTGAGAAAGTCGTAAGAAATTCAGCAGGTAAAGGGTCGGCATGAATAATAGTTCTGTAGGAGTTTGATTTAATTTAAAATACATGAGGAATCTATTTATTCTAGCTTGTTTATGTCTTACCCATAATCAAGACATGAATTCCTCGCAGATAAAAGAGCAAACAAAGACACTGGCTACGACCTTATATGTTGCACCCAGTCGCATGATTTGCAACAAGTTTTGTTAACATTAACGTGTTCTGATCATTTTATTGAATAAAAATATTAATGATCTTGTTCCATAATGTAGATAGGGTTGGATTAAGTTTTATACAAGCAACGTTAAAGGCACATTATGCCTCTGAAACAATTAAATTTTTACTTTTGTTCGAAAGGGCATACTATAACTGTACTAAATATATATCTAAATTGTTAACAATCTAATGAATTCATGATTTGTTTAATTTTCAGAACCAAAGAAACATTAGCAACCGGGCATTTTATGAGTGTTATCAACATTCTTATGCAATTACGGAAAGTGTGCAATCATCCAAGTCTGTTTGATCCACGGCCAATAATTTCTCCATTCCAAATGAAGGGGATTGTTTATCACACAGCTTCACTTGTCCATAAAGTTTTAGAATATGACCCTTTAAATGTAAGTATATATCATCAGATTAACCTTTTATCAAATTTCAATGCAAGTAAAGGTTTTGCTTAAGTTGTAAACAATAAAGATCTGTTTTTAGGGATCTGAGTAGATAGTTTAAAGCACACAATGTGCAATACTTGTTTGTCAAAGTACAAACATGTATGAAAAATTTTAATCGGTTTTCACCTTTACAACTGCAGCATGAATAGTGTTCCTTGTATAGCATAGATTTGTAGCAAAGTTTGTTTAATTAAGATATCTGTTGAAGCTTTGTTGTAAAGACGGTGATTTAGCTTATTTGGTTAACTCTTTGCTTTCCTGAACTTAACAGTTCAGGTGTGACCCCTGGAGGGCAGAAACCCATAGTCCATGGTTTTAGAGGCAGATATCTGCTTCCAGGAAATTATTATTACTAGTAGTTCACTTGTGACCCCAGTAGAGCAGGGAACCAACCCAGTGAACCCACAATTTTAGAGGTAGACTGCTAGATAAGATTAAATGCATCTCACTATATTTGTTTTTGTTTGAAGGACATAGATCTACAATTGTACCCAGGTTTAGCAGAGATGGAGAGGGATCTGCCAGCGTTTATAGCTCACAGGGTCAGAAAATTACAGACACCAAGGCGATTGATAGAGGAGATAGATATTCAGCCTGGCCCTCCACCTCGACCACAACCGGGAAAGTTGAAAACTAATACCATAAGATGTGTGTCCCCAGCTGTACAGGTATTTATTGTTTAACTACTTGAATTAACTCTATTTCAAAATTAGCCCAAAAACTAAGCTTAATGAGTACAGAACTCTTTGCTCACATATATTTATTGTGCTTGTTTGAGCATTAGGCAAGAACTTTTACTCTGACACAATGATATGTCTAACATTATTTCTACGGTCTCTGCATGGTCAATTCCTACTCATCAAAACTCCAAACCAGTGTAAATAGCCAATAAACACTGCTGAGACCAATATTATTTCCTAAATAAAATTCAAATAGTATTCAGCATTGGATTTAAATTATATGATCATAGATACAATGTAATATGCCAAGTTATGTTTGATTTGGAAGGATGTCCTATAACTTCATGTTTTGTTCTATTTTAGTCTGGTCGCGCATCTCCAGCATTGAACAGCAGATCTGTGTCCCCAGCCCCTGTGATAAAAAGTGTCAGTGTAAGCACGACTTTGTCTGGCTCCAGTCAGCCCCCTTTACAGGCTACTGTTGCCCCACAGGTCTCTTTACACAGTAAGTAAAATAATGTTATTTATAGTCACAATGTTTATAGTCACAATGTAATATCATTTTCAAGCAATGAAACTCCATTGTGTAATGTAAGAAGCTTGTATTCTTTGTTTAACAAGTAATAACTTTGTTAAGATGGGTGCAGAAGAATTTTGAACCTTTGGGAATATCAAATGTGTCGAAATGCCAATGATTATAATCCAGCATTGTTTACACTTTATCTTGCCTTCAAGAAAACTAGCAGTGTCAAGTACTTCATTGATACCTTTCAAATGCATTTCAAATAGTATCACATTGCTTCTTGTTCATATACAGTTTAGAATGTATTCCATTGTTTGAAACTAAAAGTGTGGCACATGTTCAAATGCTGGCACTTGTATACATTACCTTTGTTTTAAGTCATTAAAGATTTGGCAGTGTTTATAACATGCATATCACCTGTACGATCAGCTCAGACTTCTGTGGTTTCTAAATAGACTTCACTGTCGGCCGTTAAACTTTCTAACCATGACAATCCTTTTATACAAATCACAGAAGTGTGAATTTTACATAGCAGATTGACTTGTGTTTGACTTTAGTTAATATATATATTTTTAAGGCACTACTACAAGTAGCCAGCAAACAGCCACTAGTCAGCCTATAACTGTACAGATACAGCACACAGATCAGGGAACCAGACTGGTGTTACCATCTAATCAACTATCACAACTTCCAGGTAGGTTTAACTTTTCACTCTTGAGATCTAATGATTCTTCTACAAGTTGGATTTTCAGGGTTTAAAAAAAAGTTTCTTTATACATGCAGTTATAGGTGACCTAAATATGGGAATTTGCAATTTTATATTTAACCTCCTAAATGCCATTATGGTGTATTTGAACTCTTGTTTATTTAATGAAAATCATTTAATGGAAACTTAGGCCATCCTTAAAAAAATGTTTGTTTGCAGTAACGCGACCGACTCACAAAATTTGCCCCTATTCAAATTTTTTTTCATGGTCTGGATAAAAAAAATGTTTTTTTGAATCAGAAAATTATGCCTTGTGCTTTGTTTTCGTTCTTTTAAAGGTTAATAGAAGAAATAAAATGTAGTTCTTATTAAATAAGAATTCAGTTATCAATTTATTAATTGTTACCAGATTATCAAAGTATATTTTGTCCAGCATTTTGAAATTCCATGTTTATTTGAAAGTACAGTTCAATAAAAAAAAAAAAAAAAAAAATCGACCTACCTACCCACCTTGAAAATTCTGGGTCGAGTTACTGCAAACAAACATTTTTTTAAGGATGGCCTTAGTATTTTAAAATTCTGAGTTATTTTCGATTAAATATTTTTATTGACTCAAAATAATTTTTTGCTCAGTCTGTCCACTTGCTGAAATTTTCGCAAAATCCTGCAATTAGTTCAACACTTGTTAATGGTCAAGTGAGTTATATTAAAAAGACTTGAAACAGTATTGTATTCTGGTTGTCCTGTACTTGTTTAATGATGAAATTTCGACGGGCGGACATAAAAAATAATGTTGAACGTCAATTCTGAAACAAAATACAAACGCAACCAAAACTGCTATTTGTCCGAAGCAGATACTTTGTAATTTGCTGTATGCTGATTATAATAATATTGTGTTTTCTAGGTTTCCTACAAATAGTTCAGACTTCGTCTGGTCCTCAAACAGTGGCTACATCAAGTGTTGTGTCAACATCTTCTGTTGGTAAGTATTGGCTATTATGTAGTTGTTAGAATGCATAAAGAAAGAAAAAAAGACACACATTTTATTATGAGACAAGTTTCCAGAAAATAGTAAATTTAAAGAAGACTTTTATCATTTAATATCTTAACCTGCTGAATTCTTAAATGAACTTGTCTAGCTTCCAGTTTGTCTAGTTTCCATCATCAATATTAGGGATATCAAGATAAGAAGTAAGTCTGCTCAGGGTGAGCTCGCAGCTCGGTAAAATCTGTGAAGAAGTAAGTCTGCTCAGGGTGAGCTCGCAGCTCGGTAAAATCTGTGAAGAAGTAAGTCTGCTCAGGGTGAGCTCGCAGCTCGGTAAAATCTGTGCAGGCTAATTTCTCTTGTATTGGAGGCAAAGGCTAATTACGTTCAGCTCCAGCATGGGTTAAAAGTTGATTTTTACAGCCTTGTGAACTGTATGTTGATCAATAGAATTGTGGAATGATATTTCTGTGTTTTGGTCTGCTACAATGGTTTTGTATCTTGCTATTTCACAGTGAATGGTTCCCCTGTAGTTACCATGGCAAATTCTACTAGCCTGAAGACACTAGTCTCTAGCTCAGTGTCACAGCTGAAGATGTCACCAGGTATACAATCTGGCACTATTTCATCTCCTGTAACTTTACCTATTGGAAGCACTGGTCAGATTCAGAAACCTGTGATGCGAGTGTCGCCAATCACAGGTCAGCAAAATAGAACAAATGGAGATGGACTAGTATTTTCAGCAGGTAATGTTATATTTTCATGTACAATTTATCAATTAACAAAGGCTGCATAATAAGTTGTCCCTATTGCCTATGTTGCCCCACAGCCTGTATGGACAAGAGGAAAATTTCAAGAATTTACTACATAAATATCGTTCAGACAAGTTGAGAAATGCTTCTGATAAAAACAGACTAAGTGAGTCAAAAGTAGATTTGGCTTTCCTGATGTTTTGCACCGTCATTTTACATTTTTAGAAGTAATATGTATGACTTCTGCTTATTTCAAATCTTCATGAGGTTAACTGTACAGGGTATGAATACAGAAATCAGTTGTCGGCTTCTCACAATTCAGCACATGTTGCCAGTCTGTGTCAGCTTATGTTAACAAGCTAAAAACACAAGCTGTGAGCATCAGATTGACTTTTCGCGTTATTGTGAATGAATATGCTGTACTGGGTGATGAAACAACAAGTTTCCTAGAACTGTTTTAATCATGTTTTGTATATGTGATGCATAGAATTTGTATCGAGACATAGAGTCACTTGATCAATAACTTGTTGTTTTAGTGCTGATGTTCTCGTAAAGTAAACGTCAGTATTATGCACCAGTCAGATTTTTCTAATCTGGTTGGTCACCTTAACCTGAGATACTAGAATAATGACAAAAAATTAATAGGAATTATCAGTGAAATACAATGCAAGATGTTGCTGACATGAAGAAAATGAATCGAAGCATAGAGTCACTGGATCAATAAATTGTTGTTTTAGTGCTGATGTTCTCGTAAAGTAAACGTCAGTATTATGCACCAGTCAGATTTTTCTAATCTGGTTGGTCACCTTAACCTGAGATAATTGAAAACTTTATTCTTTGATTTGCACAAGTACATGATAGTATTAAGTTGTATTTCAGTGTAAAGGGTTTATGATATAAAATTTCAAACTGAAGGAAAGACTATTTCAATCTCCCTGCTTCTGCAAAATTCAGTCCTACCTGTTTGTGTCGGAAATCCAACTGAAGATTAAATGTAACAGTTGTTTAATGATAATCTAATGTAAAACTACCTGGAGATGCATTGAATGTATTCACTATACTTTAACTAATAATAAAATAGATTTAATCAAAAGCCCAAGTAATTTGATAGTTGAAACAGCATCAGTTTAAATGTTTTTCGTTTGTTATAAAATTTGTGACATAAAATTAATAATAAAATTTGTGACATAAAATTTGAACTATCTCTTCAATTGTGGTTTTAGCTTCAACTACTGTCTCCACCTCGTTTGTGATGTCTAAATCAAAACCTGTATCATCCGTCTACTCCCCACAAATGCTGAAACATCTTGAAGAACAAAAGAAAAGGCAGTGCAAAAAGAGATTTTTCTTGGTAAGGTGGTCTTATAAATTCTTAACACAAATTTTAAAATTTCAAATTAATGATGTATGACCATATTTAAATCAGCTAATTCTACTTTTACAACAGGCTATGAAATAGTTTTACGCCAAAGTTTTTTTTTAGTGTTTATGTTCTTATTAATGTACACATTAATGTATATGAAGTTTACAAGTCGAATCAGAGAAAAATAAAATTTGATTATTTTTCATCTCTGATCATTAGGTTTTGAGGAATCGCATATTTCTCCTCGGATATTATTTATCGTCTAGCCCCTATTTAACAGACAAACATCTTAACAGAAAGGAAAAATTATAATGATTGTGTTTTGTCATTTCAGGAGCCCTTGTTTAATAAAAAAACGTGCAAACAGAAAGAAAAACTGTACAATATAGCGAGGATAAATAAGTTACATTGTGAACGTAAACCAGTGTACGGTCAGGATTTATGTGATGCTGTAAACATTTTTAAAGACCCATTCAGTGGTAGATGTTATAGAAGTCGTGATGTATCAAAATGGAATGGGCCAGGTCATATACATTGTCAGTGTTCAAAGTTGTGCACAAATTATTCTCATCCTAAATATTTATGGAACCAGACCACAGTGCTTTCAGATATTATACATACCCCGGAACAGTATTTAGAAGAGTTACAGGACATACTAGAAAGGTAATTCACCAGTGATTTTTTTTACCTTTATTTTACAGCCGAATAAAGGCTGTTTCCCCTAGGACATATTAGAAAGGTAATTCACAAAGTCATCTAGACAAGTCATCGTAAAATTTGACAATATTAAGGTCCACCCTTACTCGAGATCGATCCAGATTATTTAAAATTTGATTATTTTGTTGTGCCCCCACTTTTAGGGGGGCATTTAGATTTACCCTTGTTTTATTAAGAGAATAATTCAGATTATTATTTATGTATGCGGGATTCTCAATGTTAAAAATGTCAAGAGGTTCGATGATTTGCTTAGATGAAACATCGAGACATAGAGTCACTGGATCAATTACTTGTTGTTTTAGTGCTGATGTTCTCGTAAAGTTAACGTCAGTATTATGCACCAGTCAGATTTTTATAATCTGGTTGGTCACCTTAACCTGAGATAACTGAATTTTTAAAAACTATTTGAAGATACAGGGTAACCGTTAACGGAAATAAATCACGTCAGTTCTTCAGTATTTTGCAGCAAAAAAAACAAAACTTGTTACTAAAATCTAGACATAGAGTCACTTTTTCAATACATTGTTGTTTTAGTGCTGATGTTTTCGTAAAGTAAACGTCAGTATTATGCACCAGTCAGATTTTTGTGTCGCCTCTACGGAGTAGTGGCGACATATAGGGATCACTTCTCCGTCGTCTGTCTGTCCGTCCGTCACAAAACTTGTCCGGACTACTGCTCATAAACTACTGGTGCAATTTCATCCAAACTTTACAGGAATGATCAGTACCAAGTCTAGTTGTGCATATTGTCAGCATTTTCCGGTTCAGTGATTTTTGTCAGAGTTATGGCCCTTTAATAATTTTTAATTTTAAAGTTTGTCCGGACTACTTCTCTTGTATCACTAATGCAATTTCAATGAAACTTTACAGGATTGATCTGTAGCTCAAGTCCTTGCGCATATTGCACGGGTTTTCCGGTTGAATGATTTTTGGCCGAGTTATGGCCCTTTGACAAAAAGGTGTTTTTTTCTGTCGTTGCCAGATACACAAAAGCTTGTCCGGACTACTCCTCATAAACTACTGGTGCAATTTAATCCAAAATTTACAGGAATGATCAGTACCAAGTCTAGTTGTGCACTGTCCATCTGCCTGTCACAAAATTTGTCCCAACATGAAATTGGCGATCATGAGGCGACACATGTGATTACTGATCGCTCTTGTTATAATTTGGTTGGTCACCTTAACCTGAGATAACTGAATTTTGAAAGAAAAATCTTGTGAAGATTTGTAAAGAAATCAATAACACTGGTATTTTCTTAATCACAATGTATTGGGCAGTCATTAATAAAATGTAATGGAGATAGTGAGAATGAATTGAAGCATAGAGTCACTTTATCAATACGTTGTTGTTTTAGTGCTGATGTTCTCATAAAGTAAATGTTCAGTATTATGCACCAGTCAGATTTTTCTAATCTGGTTGGTCACCTTAACCTGAGATACTAGAATAATGATGAAAAATTACATGAAGATTTATAATAGGAATTATCAGTTAAATGCAATGCAAGATGTTGCTGACATGAAGAAAATGAATCGAAGCATAGAGTCACTTTTTCAATACATTGTTGTTTTAGTGCTGATGTACTCGTAAAGTTAACGTCAGTATTATGCACCAGTCAGATTTTTCTAATTTGGTTGGTCACCTTAACCTGAGATATCAGTTTTAGAAAGCAATATCAAAGGAATGTTTCTATATTTATTTATTAAAACAAATTTTATATATATTTTAAGACAATAAATCAAATTCAATGTCATTTGATTACTCGTATCATGGTTCAGATTTTGTAAATGAAATCAAGTAATGTCTCCTTTTAACCAAAGAGACAGATTTTGTTGTCGAAATAGTGAATTTTAGAACTGAAACCAAATTAGGGAAACTAAGTTTAAGGGGCTTTGAACCTACATAACGGAATATTGAAAGAAAAAACAAAAAATCAATTCAGTTGTATAAAAAAAATTATAAGTTTTTAAAGCCACATTTGAACTTTATGAAATAGTAATGCTGTATTCAATTTGTCGAGGCAAAGAGTCACTGGATCAATATTTTGTTGTTTTAGTGCTGATGTACTCGTAAAGTAAACGTCAGTATTATGCACCAGTCAGATTTTTATGATTTGGTTGGTCACCTTAACCTGAGATAAATATTTTTGATATTGTTAATTTTTATGATTTAAGTGTTATAAGTTTTTAACAGAATGGAGGTTTCATGAATAAACGATATATATTTGTTTCAGGTTTGTATTTGTGACCCCACCAGTGCAATCTGAGAGGATCCGTATGCACGTGTCTCATCCCCCACCATCATATCTCCGAGAAACCTCGTACAGGGAGTCATTGCTGAGGATGGAACTCTCACCAAAGACTTCAAACTACCATAAGATCATGACAAAAATGACAGTTCAGTTTCCAGAGTTACGGCTTATTCAGTATGACTGTGGTATGTGTAATTTTTCTGTCGATTGAGAAAAGGACTTTTTGTTATGTGTATTTGAGAAAAGGATTTCTTGATTTGTGTATACTGTATTGTTTTATGAAAGTGACAAGTTAGTTGGGCTTTTTTCATTGCTATTTAGGCCCTCTCGTTGTCCTGGGTTTTAATCTGAACCTTGTGATTCCATATTGTGGCCAAGATCAAATTAAGCAAGTATATGAACTTTATAAACTTTCCGTGAGATTGTTTGGTCATCATATATTTGTTACATGTTTCTGGTTTATACTCGGCTGCTTATGCCTGAAATAATGCACCTAAGTTCTTTTAATGTATTCTTTGAATAAACTGGCAAGTTGATATAAGGCCTTAGCAGTGTAAGGTGTAAATGCAATCCCAGCAGAAGAAGCGAGGACAAAACATTTCTGATGATATTGCCAATATTCTACTTATTTGGAAACCAGCTAAACAGTAGTACAAAGACAAAAGTGAAAAAATATCTTTGGGAAACCTGTATAATGTATATAAATTAATATACACTGCACAAGTATATAATTAGCTTGCGGAAACTCGACCCAATTACTATTCTATTGCTTTTTTGTGACTGGCCATCTCGTTGTTCAGGGTTTTCTTTAAACCTTAGAATTCCATTAAATGGCCATAAATTAATTTAGCCACTGTAAGTTCATTGCTGTCTATTTGGCAGTTTGCTTTATAATGGTTACATTGGTATTCAAAGTGGAAAAAAGAAATATTAATTTAACATTTTGTATGACTTTCTTATTAAAGATTAGCTTTAAGAAATCATAAGATTATGCATGTAAGTGTACAAATGAGACAAATATAATGTTGTGTACATATAAGATGATTGTCAACATTTGCTGAAGGATATAAAAACAATTATTCATGTAAGACTTCCAGATATATGCATCTCCTTAAGTTTATGATATAATATTTAAATGTTATGAATACTAGATTACCAATTTAATGTATGACTTGTAGGTAAGCTGCAGACATTGGACATTCTGTTACATCGTTTAAAATCGGAGGATCATAGAGTATTGATATTTACCCAGATGACGAGGATGTTGGATATTCTTGAAGCTTTCCTCAACTACCATGGCCATAGATACCTGCGTCTTGATGGTACCACGAAGATTGAACAGAGACAGGTCTGTTTTCATTGTTTATAGATAGTTTCAGATTGCCATCTTGGAAGTATCAATTTATTGACTTAATAGGTAATAAAGTAACTCTCCAGGAACGATGGTTAGGAAACTATCCGCCTATATGACTGAAATACTGTTGACAAAAGGCGTAAAATGAAACAAACAAACAAACAAAAGTAAAACTTTAAGCAGCAATCTTTCCAATTGTTTGAACTCCTTGGTGACTGATCCCATACAATTACTTTCAAATTCTTTTTCGTGAAAGAATTTCATTTCGGGACTTACCTGAGATACTGTTGTGCATGTGCAGTGCTCTTTTCTGGTTGCGTTTTACTTATTTGTGAGAGTTGGTCAAAACCCTTTTAAGTAAATTTTAAGTTAATTATCATAATGTTGATGTTATTCTATATGTTTTGTAATTCATATCCAGTTCTTGAAAGCTTCCAGTTTTATTACAAAGATCAATAACTGAAGTAATTTGTTCATTACAGCAATTAATGGACCGTTTCAATGCAGACAGACGTATATTTGTATTTATTCTATCAACACGATCAGGAGGTATAGGTGTGAATCTTACTGGTGCCGACACCGTCATCTTCTACGACAGTGACTGGAATCCAACGATGGACGCCCAAGCACAGGATAGATGTCATCGTATTGGTCAAACTAGAGATGTCCATATCTATAGGTAGGTTAATGTAACTTAATATTAATAGTTAAATTATAACTTTTTCTTTTGTCAGCGTTATAACTTTTTCTTTTGTCAGCTTGCATGTATTTTCTTGGCTGAATGGTATGAAAGAAAATCTTTTATAATTATTTCTTCAGTTTCTTAATTTGTGAATACGGAAGCTAAATAGTTTGATTATTAAATAGGTTGATTATTAAATAGGTCTGTCTTCAGTAAATTTGTGATGTTGCTACTTGATCTTCATGTTGTATTTGAGATTGGCAACTCATTCAAAATCATTTTAAATGATGTATGGGAAAATTCTGTTGGCAAAGGTTGAATGGGTGATCCTTTTGTTAATAGACTCTTAGATCTCTAGTTTCATTGCACATATAGGGTGTATTCTGATATCAGTGCCTGAATTCCAATCTACATATAAGTTGATGGTGATTTATGTACGGTTTATTTAATAATTGTATAGATTGGTGAGCCAGAAAACTGTAGAAGAGAACATCTTGAAAAAGGCCAATCAGAAGAGAATGCTAGGCGATATGGCTATAGAGGGAGGTAACTTCACTACAGCTTTCTTTAAAGAGGTATGTATCATAAAATTCTTCCCCTAGTATTGATAAAATCACAACAAATAAAAAGTTTATCATGGTGGAAACTTGTTTTTATAATACATCTACCTTATTTTTATTAAACCCCCCCCCCCCCCCCCCAATCTGTAAGACTTAGTTTGAACTCGAACAGCTTTTATAAGAGTTGTTTATGTTTCCATTGATTACTAGATAACATGTTTTTGATATAAAAAAGATTTCTTTTCATTTACACTAAATATGTGTTTAATTCTCTGTATATAAAAAACACTCTTTTCTTTAACTTTCGATGGTTTGTCTTCTTCAGAAAAAATTGACATTTATTTTAAAATTGACATTTATAAAATAACAAATGATGCAATGTCTGTTTAACTGTACGCTAAATGGAACCGGACGTTAATGAGGAAATAAAGATTTTGCCAAATTAAAACAGAATCTTTCAATAAAATATTTCTACATGAATACAGCAATATATAATTATATAATATACATATAATATCGATCTACACATGTATAGTAATTCCTAACTTGTGTAATTCCTAACTTGTGCACATTTTAGAATACAATCAGTGAGTTGTTCTCTGAGCCGTCTGGTCTTGAATCTCTTGTAAAAGAGAAGGAGCAGGAAGAAAAAGAGAAGTTGCTGAAGGCAGAAAAGAAAAAGAAGGCCGAGGTGAAGAAATCCGATCCCTCAGAAGCTCAGGCTTTGGCTCAATTTGAAAAGGTAATTTATTAATATAGGTACACCTGCTTTAAAATTGTCCCCCACCCATTTTCTAAAGTGCCTTTTTTCTAAATATATGATTTATATAACAGGAAAGGGATACTTTCATGTGTACTGTAAAACTGTGATTAAAGGTATAAAAATAAATTTGTATATTGGTCATATAGTTTAATGACTTGGTTAAAAAAACAGATGTAAAAAAATGGTTAGATTACTTGTACTTCCTTGTCTTTGGTCCCAAAGAGCTTCTTTGTATTATTTCATTAAAACTTGTAAATGCCCCAAGACCGAAAAAGCTTTATAAATGAAGCAACAGAGCAAAGTTATATTACTTCATATATCAGCTTAAAGGTATCACATACCATATTTTTTGCTAATAAACGACCACCCCAAATTAACTGTAAAACATTTGATATAATTTTGTTCATCTAGGCTCTGGCCAAGACAGAGGATGAGACTGATGCTGTGGCTATTGACCAAGTTAAAGCTGAACAGAAGGCGGAGTTGGCCGAGTTTGATGAAAACATTCCACTAGAGGATGGTGTTGATGGTCAGGGTAGGGAAGATGAATCTCATGTAGAACAAGAGCTAGCAATGCTTGATAAAGAGGTAAAATCAAATTGTACTTTACTGGTGAACATTAGATTTTAGGTACATTGTATTTCAAACTTTGTCTTACATAATTGATTTGAAATGAAATCATATTCGAATTATTCAACATAAAATAAGATTAACACAACAGTTCAAATCAATCTACCAATTATTAAAGAATAGAATTCAAATCTGAATGAAATGGCTCCATGTTTTATGTATACTGTGTGTTCAACTGAGCGAATGGGAGTATATAAGAGCTGAAAAAAAGATTACTAAGGTTTTGATTTTACTTGGCTCATGATAGACTTCTAAGGTCATGTATTGCCCATTGTTTAGGGTCACATGACTTAAGTCCAATATGGGATGAAGTTGTTACTTATTTAAGGCTTTAAGGGATATGTTTGTCTTATTTAAGAGATACGTTTGTTTTTTAGTTGACGCCAATTGAGAGGTATGCCGTCCAATATACAGAGCAGATGATGGAACCTGTCAATGAGGAGGAGTTGAAGATTGCCGAGGTTGGTGCAAATTTAATTAAGTTTGGGACAAAATTCATTAATGATGAAATGCAAATTGTTAATTTGGTTACAGTTGCAAATTGTAATATGCTTATAAGTAAAAATTTTTGATGTGGATACACGTTATTTGAATGGATTTGAAATAATTCTAAGTATGTGTGATTAAATTAAGCCAAGAAAATATATATTACCTTGAAACGGATATATACAGTATGCATACAACAGGTGCCCCTCACAGGTTCATGATATGTCCTAGATATTTAATACTTAAATTTCAGTAAGGGGTCTATCTAGCTAGCTAAATGCAAGGTTACTGGGTTACGTTGGATGTTTGCAAGTGACCCAAGTATTGCATCTAATTTCATCTTTAGTCTTCATTGTTTAGTGAAATTGAAATATGATCTTGTTACTTAAAATCGAACCAAAACTAATTAAGCAATTTCTTTGAGGTTTAATTGTAATTGATCGTATTATATTAATATATATAAAAATGTTTTTAATACCATTGAAGGATGATATTGAGAACGTGAAGAAGGATTGGGAATTAAATCGTTTGAAAGCTCTGAAAGAGGAAGAGGAACGTCGTGCAGAAATGGAGGAAGACGAGATGTTGTACACGTACAGCCGTGATGACGCTTACCAACAGGTGAAAAAACGAAACAAACAACTGGCACAAGAGGCTCGCAGGTCGGCTGCCGAGGCTCGTGCTCAGTCCTTGAGTCTGTCACCTCGCAGGGCGGGTCGGCAGAGTCTGGGACCTGGCGAGGAGTTGGAAGAATCACCTTCAAAGAAGGAATGGGTTTATAAAACTCCAAAGATTATTAGAGACCTTGTAAAGAATAAGAATGTTGATACTGAAAGTTCTAAGAAAAAGTATAAAGGTAGAACAGGGGAAAATGATACAAATGAAGATGTTGATGTTGAAACTATCGATTTTATAGAAGAAAGTAGTTCTAGTAATAATAGTAAACAAAAAGTTAAAAAGAGGTTAGTGAAGACTGAGAAATCTCCAGTTAAACGTACAAAGAAGGTTAAAGGAGAGAACTTTATTAATATTCCAAAGAGTAGTGGTGTTGTACAACAACAAGTTGCAACAACAGAAGCAACAAGGCTTGACTCATTGCCGGGTTACAGTGTTAGGGAAGGTATCTTTCAGAAGTTGCAGCAGTCTCCGCCCAAATCTATTGCTGACCGAGCCAATATCTTTGAACAATTTGGTGTTCAAACTCCTACCCAACCTCAAGTTCCCAGTTTTAATGTTGTGCAGACACCTGGTCAAAATCAAATCTATAGCAATCCCCTTGCTGGTCAAACTGTACGCCTAATAAATACTCCCCAGGGTAGACAAATGGTGGTTGTTAGTTCTAGCCCTACAGTTCTTCAGCAAACCAGTCCTCAGAATGTGGTATTGCTGCAAGGCATGCAAGGGTTCCCTCAAGGCATTGTAGTTGGCAATAATATTGTTTCACTCCAAGGTACCCCACTACAAATGACCCCTGTAAATAGAGGAAACAATCCCATTAATCTCCAGAGTCCAAGAATTGTTGGACCTCCTCAGGTTGTACAACCAACTAGGCTTGCAACAAGGATTGTTTCTCCTGTGGGTGGGCAGAATCAGGCATTTGTTCAGAGGATAGTTGGATCCCCTCAGGTAAACACTGGGATGATTCCAGTGTCTGTCCCTGTGCCACAGCTTAGTCCACAAACAAGTCAGTTACAACAGCTTGGAACAATACCCCAGTTCAGGCTACAAACGCCTTTAGTCCATACTGCAGGTGGTCAAATGGTGAATATCCAGACCACAACAGCAGCTCCTCAAAGAAAGTCTACTGTGCAAACTATAGCTAATCTTATAGCTGCTGGGAAAATGGCCAAACAAAATGTGCCACAGACCAGACCATCTATACCTGTGCAACAACAAACTGCTTTGCGGCCCCCCCTAAGTATTCCCAACATCAACAACTTAATGAAAGCTCAGGTACCCCATACCATTCCTTCAGCATCCCAGTCCTCGCAGGTTCGAGTTAACCCAACAGTAGCAAAGCTAGTGGCTTCTCATATTCATTCTGCAAATGCTAACACTAGCGCGAGCCCTGTTATACAGAGTCCGGCTGTGACCAGTGCTCGAGCAGCAAGTCCTGCCATAATTAATTTAGCCACTAACACAAGGTCACAAAGTCCAACAGTTGTTAAAGTTGTGTCCGTGTCTAGAACACGTAGTCCCTCCCCCAGCCCAGGAGCCCAGTTTCAGCCAGGTAAAATACCAGTTGCACATCCTGCGCCAGTCAGAGGTGAAAATCCTGTTGCCACAATCAATATAAAGGGTCTTCCGCCAGGGGTGTCAATACCAGCTAGTCTGGTAAACTCCCTGGTTTCTGGGTCTATTGGGGGTATTTCTAAGGGGGGTCTGATTCGAGGTAGAGTACCAGCTGGGATGGGTCAACCTGCCACTACAAAAACAGTTATCAGAAAATCAGCATCTGATATTGTTGAAAATGTTAATAATAATAATCAAAACCTTGTTAAACCAAACATTGGGGGGACTACAAATGGAGGTCTGGGTTCCAATGTCCAAACCACCCCTTCGCCTCGAGTAGATTCTCCAGACTACAGGGCCATGGCCGGTATGAAACCCAACCCAGAATCGGCTTCTTCGAGTCCTTCTGCTGCAGCATGGTCCAATCCTAACTTGGTTATCAGAACTCGTAGGGCCGCTGTTCAACAACAGATACCTCAGTCTAGGTCTCCACAAATACGTCCAAGTCCAGCTGTTATTACTCCTACAGAACTACCAACTGTAGTGGTCAACACAAATGGTCCGCCTGTAAATCTTAACATACCAAATCATGTTAGTCAAATGAGCGCAAGTCTTGTTGCCAAAAAATTGGATCAAACTAATGTTCAAGATCAAACGGAACCGAAAACAAATGGTGGTGTTGATTATATAGAAATAAGTTAGGCATATTACTTTTGTTTGAACTAAATCAGGAGGTTCTTTTTGTCATATTTTGTATTCTTTTTAGTCGAGTCTAAAAAAAAATTACGGCAGAACTCTTACTAAATCCGGAGTGATTCCATTTGTCATATTTTGTGTTCTTTTTAGTTGCCTAAAAAAATTTACAGCAAAAAGGTCTTGGAAGTATGATTATCAAATGTCTTTCATTTTTTGTTCCTTTGTTGTTTGCCATAATCACAAATATGTGTTATATTGTTGACAATTTGCTATACATAAAATCTTAATTGGATAAAAAAAGATCATTTGATCTTGTATTTTAGAATGTATGTATCTATTTTCATTTCAAAAGCATTGCCAAGCAAAGTTTTTGACAACTAAGATGGTCAAAGTTAGAAATTTTATTTTGTCCTAAGTGCGTTTTTTGTCTTGTAATTAAGAGAATAGGTTGCATTTATCGGATTGTGTTCATGGAGAGCAAGTAATAAAGTGTATATATTAGCATGTTAAGTTATTGGTGCTTTGTAAGACAAATCTGATTTTTTGTTTCCTATTTTTGTTTTGCACATGTTGAAACATAATTGAGCCGCGTCACGACAAAACCAACATAGTGCGTTTGCGACCAGCATGGATCCAGACCAGCCTGCGCATCCATGCAGTCTGATCAGGATACATGCTGTTCCCTTACCAACTCTTACAAGTAGAGAAACTGATAGCAAACAGCATGGATCCTGATCAGACTGCGCGGATACGCAGGCTGGTCTGGATCCATGCTGGTGGCAAACCCATTATGTTGGTTTTGTCGTGACACGGCTCATATAATTTTGGTCACTTATTTTTGATGTTGTGAGGCAGAATATTCCACATTGTATATACGAGATGTGTTTGAGAGTAGAATGTGAGAGTTTAGATTGGCGATTCAAGCTTTTAACCTTAAACCTGCTGGGAACCAAAGCTGATAATCCTTCGCTGCAAGTATAGGATCTAGGCCAGTCTGTATTTCTGTGTAGTCTGACCAGGCTTTGTATTCTGTTGTTAGCTAAGTTTTTGTATTTTGATATTGAAATACCTTAAACTTTGAACAGACTGTTTAAAGGCACATTATGCATTGGAAACAAATTTTTACCTCTTTCTTTAAAGGCTAATTATGCCGCAGAAATAAATTTTTACGTCTTTCTTTAAAGGCTCATTATGCCTCAGAAACAAATAAATTTTTACTTCTTTAGGAAGGTCAAAACATGAATGTATTAAGATGTTTTTAATAATAATTTTTAGTTTATGTTGGATCCTTTTTACCTGAAGAAAACAGTGATGAATGTGAAATTATTTGCCATAAAATTAGCAAAATGTAAACAAAGAAGTATTTTGACTTCCATACAAAATACTAATTCACTATAACTGTACTTAACTGCCAAAAAGCAACAGATGTAAAAGATGGTTAAGGTAATTTGCCAATGATTATGATTATGTTTTTGGATACTTACAATGTACAATGAAAATAAAAAGATTCGAGAAGTAAAAAAAAACATTTCTGAGGCATTATACGCCTTTAAACAGGGAAAGTCTACACAAATTAGCAGGTTTAGGGACTCGAAATCAAGAATATAAGTAGAAGATACACAATTAAACATGTGGCTTAAATATGTGTGAGAATTGTTAACAAATAAGTAAAGTGCTGAGATTTATTTTCATTCTTACAAACTACATGCAAGTGAAATTGTTTAAAGAATTTTTTTTTTGTACTTGTTCTGTCTTATTTTCGATATTGATTTTTCAGAAAAATTTAGTTCTGATAGGCTAGGAGTTAAAAACATTTACTTCATGCCGCATAATTCACTAGAGCAAATAGTTTCAACCTTTAGGTGTAAAAGTGCTATTTTTGAATGTTTGATTTGATTTTGTTTTTTGTACGTGTATGATAAATGATGTATAACTTTCTACGGAAATCCTTTAACTTGCTATGATTTAACGGCCAATTTACTATTGGTGGATGTGTAATTTTGGGGATTTCGTTTTCAACTAAAGATTTTGTTATTCATAAATTTTGTTCCCGTTAATATTTGTATAAAAATGACAAAATTTCAGAAAAAAATAATAAACTGAAAAAAATATATCCATGTGTTTTTGTCTGCATCTAGATACCCTTTGTGTTCTTCCAAATACATACATGTACTAAATGTTGCCTAGTTACCATTGTAAATAATTATAAATGTGAAATTAAAATTTCTAAAATCTACATATTTTGCAGAAAACAAACAAGGGCAACATTTAGAACACAGTGTATCACCAGCAAGGTTTTGGCAAAGAAAATATTGCCCACAAAAAAAGAAAGAGTAAATCATTTGTATCTCAATTTTTCTCTGGCTCAACAAATGGCATTACTCTAAAAAATAAAGTAGGTTTTGGTGTAGGGGTTTACAAAATATTAATTTTAAAGATTGTTGTCTAAAAGATTTGTTCTTTTACTAATTTTGAGCAAATTTCCTTACCAAAACCTTGATGCATGTTTGAGCACAAAGGAAAGTTGAGATGCAGATAAAATGGCACACGCCACACCTTAAAGATATACTATGCTCGAATTTGAGTTTTGAAAATATTGATAATTGCTATTGTACAACAACATTGTCCTGGCACTCTTGCATTTGACCCTGCTGTCGGTATATTCTGTAAACGTTACGATCTACCTGTAAATCAATATGAATGTAAATATCGAAATGATAAAATTGTGTAAATTAAAAATCAATCTTAGCGCAGTTGGTAAAGGAGGTTTCACTTCACTTGAAGAATTTAGACGAATTCTGGTAGGTTCGAATCCTATTACTGCAACTTATTTTTTAGCTCGACTATTCGAAGAATATGAGAGCTATTGTAGTCGCCCCGGCGTCGGCGTCGGCGTCAGCGTCCGCGTCCGCGTCTGCGTTGGTTAAAGTTTTTTGTAAAGTCAAATATCTCAATTATTACTTGAGATATTCAATTGAAACTTACAATACTTATTTATAGTAACAAGGTACATCAGATTGACAAGTTGGATAACTCTGCCTACAATATTGACAGAATTATGCCCCTTTTTAACTTAGAAATTTTGGTTAAAGTTTTTTGTAAAGTCAAATATCTCAATTATTGCTTGAGATATTCAATTGAAACTTACAATACTTATTTATAGTAACAAGGTTCATCAGATTAACAAGTTGGATAACTCTGCCTACAATATTGACAGAATTATGCCCCTTTTTAACTTAGAAATTTTGGTTAAAGTTTCTTGTAAAGTCAAATATCTCAATTATTACTTGAGATATTCAATTGAAACTTACAATACTTATTTATAGTAACAAGGTACATCAGATTGACAAGTTGGATAACTCTGCCTACAATATTGACAGAATTATGCCCCTTTTTAACTTAGAAATTTTGGTTAAAGTTTTTTGTAAAGTCAAATATCTCAATTATTGCTTGAGATATTCAATTGAATTTTAAAATACTTTTTTATAGTAACAATGTACACCAATTTGCAAAATTGCATAACTCTGCCTACAATATTTGCAGAATTATTTGCCCCTTTGAAACTTAGAAATTTTGGTTAAAGGTTAAAGGTCTTCAAAGATATTTACATGAAACTTTACACATCCACTTACAGTCATGATTGTATGTCACTGACCAAGTTCCATAACTCTATCTTGCATTTAGGCTGATTCATATCCCCTTTTTTACTAATAATATAATAATAGTCTCTTGGTTAATGTTTACATGCAAGTTTTACATATTCAATAACTATTAAAGATATTTATTTAAAACTTCACATATGCATTTAGGGTCATAATTGTAGGTCACTGACAAAGAGCCATAATTCTATCATGCATTTAGGCTGATTTTTCTCCCCTTTTTCAACTTAGAAATTCATGGTAAAGTTTTGCTTGTAAGGTGTTATCTCAATAACTACTGAAGGGTTTGTGCCTTTTTTAGGACAATTTTATGCATTCATAATAATAAAGCAGTGATTTACTTGATAAAACATCTTAATAACAAGCCTTTGTTCAAATTTATGTATTCATAGGTAATTAGTATTATTATACTCAATAAAACACCCTTGTGACACTACCTTCCTTAAAGTCAAGCCAATACTGTATAATTAGACTCTCTCTAAGGATTATAACATGAATTTATAAAAGAAATTAGCCCTTTTGTGAACTTAAAAATTTTTACATTATCAAGGCTCTTTTACTATCAAGCACTTAGAATAGTCGAGCGTGCTGTCCTACTGACAGCTCTTGTTATATTTAAAATTGCCATTCTCTCGAAACTATTGTAAATCTTTTATTTGTGTGTACCAACAGTGTAGTATTTGTAATAATTGCCTTTATAGCGCGTATGCGCTAAAGCATAAACGATTTCATAATGTCACAAAAAGAACCGTTGAAAGATACTGTTATAAAAAAAATATGATACTGTTATAAAATAAAAAAATATAATTGTGTATAAAAACACCACTTAAAAGGTTTTCTTAAACTAGGTGTAGTAAAACTATTTCAAATTAATTCTTGCGAGTAAATTAAAAAAAAATCATAATGGGGTGTTGGTAAAGGATCGAACCATAGACCTTCAGATCGGTAGTCCGACATCTATACCAATACACCACACCTCACTGACAAGTGAAGTTAGCAAATATATTGATATATTCGATAGATACTGGTCAGTGTTTATTCAAATGACCTTAACGAAAGTTAATGAAGTGCCAGGTCAATGTTGTCGTACAATACACGGTCTCTTAGTAAATAAAAATGAGCAGCATCACGACAAAACCAACATAATGAGTTTGTGACCAGCATGGATCCAGACCAGTAGTCTGATCAGGATCCATGCTGTTTGCTATCAGTTTCTTGTTGTAGGGTCTGTAAGCGAACAGCATGGATCCTGATCAGACTGCGTGGATGCGCAGGCTGGCCTGGATCCATGCTCGTAGCAAACACATTATGTTGGTTTTGTCATGTGGCTCAAATTACATGTGTTCTGACTTCACATGCATAAAGTAGATATAAAATATGAATATATTGTCTTTTTAAGAAAACTTTAAAAATTTTATCAGAAGGGACCAACTTGTCCCATAGGAAACGCAGGTTCCTATACTTGGTTCATTCATTCTTATATTCAAATTGGGCATATTCAGTAAAAATTGTACAGATCTTGATAAATTTCTGTGATTATTAAGTATTTTACTCGGTAATAAGCATAGTATATCTTTAATACCGTGCTACTGAAAGATCTAATTTCAAAATTTTAAACATTAACTTTAATGACGTTAAGAAATATTGAATGCAGTAAAGATCTTGTTTAACTACATCACTAAAAAATCACATTAAGGCTGCCTTAATCACTTGCCCCCTGACTGCTTAGGGTTTGAATCCCAACAAATAAAAGAGAATGTGAAACCTAAAAATGGATGCTAGAGTGTCGGAATGATTCAAGTTCAGTTGGATTGTTGCCGTATGACCTAGACACAGGTTATAAGCTAAACATAATGGTGGATTTTAACATTATTTGATGAACATGTACTTAATGATGCAGACCTGTAGGAAATATGAGTGTTGCAAGGTTTCATATAATTGACTACAAAACAATACTTTTATCATATAATATCTTGACTTTTCTGTTGAAAATTTGTCGAGACTTGGATCATATACATGAATAGTGTGTTATATTAGTTCCCTGCACTCATTGGATGGCTCATTTTTTCTGGGGTTTACTTATTGTGATGGCAGAAAAAGGGAAAGTGATGGAAGTCTCATATTCAGATGCTCGTTCATTGGCTATTTTTTCCTGGGGTTTCATATCGTGACTATTAAAAGGGGAACATGCTTTTATTTTTGCCTATGATAAAAAAGAGAAAGAACATCAAAACACTCGGCAATCTGATTCATACTCGGGCTTAGCCACGCCCCCTTGTATATATCAGATAGCCTCGTATTTCGATGCTCTTTCTATTATTTTCCCCCTTTATGGTGCCATAGAACTGGAGGCAAATTCATTTTTGCGGATAAAATGCCTGAAGTATCAACTACATGTATCAACATTTCTACCAATGTAGCAATTGTGTTAAGCCATGAATGCTGCTGTTTAATGTAAGCCAGTCAACTTAAATCTTAGCTCATATCCTCGAAATATATGAAAAATGTAAATAACTTGTTTCCACAATAAATGTGTTGATCTACATTGTAAATAAGCTAATAAAGAATTTATAAGACTCTTAATAAAATCTAAACCTTGCAAGTACCATTGGCTATTATAATGTATGTATTCCACCAACTAGTTTTTCCAACAAACAAGGCTCTGTACTGTTAATACTGTTTGATAATAATAATATGTAACTGGGCTTTAAAATATGGATGGTCTGTTTCAAAATGACAGCAGTTTAATTCAAATTCTATGTATATTTTGTAAATAATGTTTTTGAGGTCCACATGAATGATTGGGTAACCAAATCATAATATGTACACAGTTGCTTACTATTCTATCCAGGGGTTTAAACATTAAACTGATACAAGTTTCCTCATCTTGATATTGTACAAGAATACAAGCTACCAGTCAGCACTTTGACCCCTTTTACTATATGCCTCCCAGTATTAAAACTATTTTGTCAAACTGTAATGCTGGTTGTAATAATGTATTAACTGTAATATAATTTGATGTATCAGCAGTCAGGTTAAGGTCATACAACACTAATAATCATCTATTTGGTCAGACTTTAATATAAATGAAAGATGTTATCTGGAACTCTGCAAATGCGAGTGTTTACCCATCTAATCATCTGAAAGAAATAAACTTTTACTGTTAAGGATTCACAGTGGCGGATGCACTACCATTTATGATAGTGATCAAGGTGTTGCGCTTATTAATATATTTACCAAGTTGAAATTGTGAAAGTTTGTTCCTACCCAGGGATAAGATTGGGGGGAAGTAACACATTTGTTGAGTTCCAAAGTATCTTAATAATATTGAAAATTAAGTGGCAACACCAGCAAAAAGGTTGCAATAAATCTGTTCATTTCATAGCACTAGTATTTGAGCCGTGTCACGACAAAACCAACATAATGGGTTTGCTTCCAGCATGGATCCAGACCAGCCTGCGCATCCGCACAGTTTGATCAGGATCCATGCTGTTCGCTATCAGTTTCTCTACTTGTTAAAGGGTTTGTAAGCGAACAGCATGGATCCTGATCAGACTGCGCGGATGCGCAGGCTGGTCTGGATCCATGCTGGTCGCAAACGCACTATGTTGGTTTTGTTGTGACATGGCTCATTTATCTATATTATAATATATTGTCATTTGTTGTATTTAAATGTTTAAGCCCAATATGAGCAATAATGTGATAATGCCATTAATCCCAAACAAACAATTAGGCATATATATAATTTATTAGAGCAGAATATATAATATAGAGATAATATGATCACTTGCAAGAAGAAGACCCTTGTCACTGTAATTTGACACATTTTGTTGGTATGATTATTTTAACATGTTGATATTTTATTTTAGTCCTCAATTTCAAGTATATATTTGTAGGTGTTTCTCTCGGATCTGGATCAAGAACAAATGCCTGTAAGTTATCCTGTACCATTTGTCAAATTTTATATAATATGTTCTATATTTATCTGTTAAATATCTAATAATTTCTAATATATGTTAAAATGTTTCAATGACAATAAGATAGGGTAAGGGTTGTGAATTCCCTCCCCACAAGTAATTGGAATGGCTTCTCTTGTATAGGTATGAGATAATGATCGCACAAATACATGATTTTAAATATCGGACAAGAAATATGAACACCTCTTATGCAATTAAAAACATATATAAATTATATATATTTACGTATGAAAATGCAAGTTTGATAGCTATTCAGCTAGGACAGAGCGACCAGTTACAGTACTATTGGCAATGGCTGTTGAATTTCAGTTGTTAACACTTGTCTTACATTTCTGACAGTTATGGGCCCCTCCAACACCACCACATGATGATAATGATGTTTACATTGATCAGACATTACTCTTCCTGTATGAACATTCTGTAATGCCAGAAACACAACTACCTCCAGTATATGTTAAGAAAGAAAAGAAAAAGATCAAGGTGGAATCCATCACAAGTAAGTCCTAATTGAAAAAAAAAGAAGAAACAAAAAATTGGCACAGAATATTTCCGCACCTTGTGTGCTGAAGATATTTTACATTGTTGTGGGTTTAACATACATGCATAAGGAGTTTTCAATTAATTTTTGTGAGGAAGCTATCCAGCTAGCTGATGGAACGTCGGTGGTTCTACTCGGGTGCCTGTTCGTGCCTGAAATAAAGCACAGAGGGGCACCTGAGGTCTTTCTCCACCAGTAAAGCTGAAACGTCGCGATATGACCTATACTGTGTCGATGTGACGTAAAACCCAATCAAACAAACAATTAATTTTGCATATGTATTCAGATTACCAGGAGATTGTTGCATGCAAGATTCATTACATACCTTGTTTGTCATTTTGATATATGTATACTGGTCTGCTTTGGTTACATTTTATAAATTGAAATTTAACACCATATAATATCAAAAATTAATCTAGCAAGCTTGTTTAATTTTGGTTATTCTGCAAATGAAATTGTCATAATAATTAAGTGCAGGCCTTGTATTTGTCATCTATAGTTAATGCTGGACATTATTTATTTATTTATTGTTTTTAAAACATAAGTTGAAGAAAAATTTAATTTGGTCAATAAATACCTTTGAATAAGTTGTTTTCATTATTGAATTTCTTTCAAGACTGGGGATACTTAAATTTAATAAACAATTTGTTAACAGCTCGTAAACAGAAGCAAAAGAGAGAAGAGCAGCCAAGGGTTCCGAGGTCATTGTTTGATCGAGCTAATGCTCAGCTGTTGAGGTTGAGAAGAGACGCCAAATTACAGAAACTAAAAATGGGTCAACTTAAACCTTATAGACCTCTACCTTCCATGCCTCCTAAACCTTTGATGGAACAAGCCCCGGATCATCCTGAGTGGCTTATACATGAAGATTGGGCTCTTTTACAGGTAAAGTTATATGAGCCGCGTCACGACAAAACCAGCATAATGGGTTTGCGACCAGCATGGATCCAGACCAGCCTGCGCATCCGCGCAGTCTGATCAGGATCCATGCTGTTCGCTGTCAGTTTCTCCACTTGTTATAGAGTTGGTAAGTGAACAGCATGGACCCTGATCAGACTGCGTGGATGCACAGGCTGGTCTGGATCCATGCTGGTCACAAACCCATTATGTTGGTTTTGTCATGACACGGCTCATATATAAAGTAAAAAATTTATATAATGCAAGGCCTGTTTTGTGAGTTTTCCCTTGCTGATGATTTTGATTTGTTAATGGAATATGGAATGAAATGAACACTTTAAAAAATTTAAAAAAACAGTCTGTAGCACATAAACTGTTACCATGACAAAAAAAGTTTAAGTTGATACTACAGGAGTCATCACAATGCTTGACACGTGTTGTGTATTCAGTATACATAGAATAATCATTTATGAAACAAAACACAATTTTTCTCATAATGTACAAATATATTGTATTTCAACAACTATCATAGCGAGTATAACAATAACCTTTGACAATAGCACAGGGTCATGTCAGACTGCAATGGATTAACCAGACTCGCTAAAACTATGATTGTACTGCTCCATATTTTAAAGTATGGATGTCTGTCATGGAAGATTACATTACACACACCAGGGAGGTTTAGTCAGATTTATTGTCATTTTTAACCAGGTTTTCAATTTTGAAAATCCTGGTTATTAGATTGGGGTATGGCGGGCGGATGGGCGGATGGGCGGGCGGGCGTCAAACGAAATTGTGTCCGCTCTGTAACTCTTCAACCCTTTGAAGAATTTTGATGAAACTTCAGACAAATGTTTACCACATCAAGATGACGTGCAGAACGCATGTTCCGCATGGCTGGCTCCAAGGTCAAGGTCACAGTGACATTAACATTGAAAATCCTGTCCGCTCTGTAACTCTTCAACCCTTTGAAGAATTTTGATGAAACTTCAGACAAATGTTTACCACATCAAGATGACGTGCAGAACGCATGTTCCGCATGGCTGGCTCCAAGGTCAAGGTCACAGTGACATTAACATTGAAAATCCTGTTTACATGATTTTAACTTGATTTGGCAGTCAAAGGTCATATCATCTTTGGAGGTAATTTAAAAAAGATATGATATATTATTTCATGTCTACTTTGTAACTTGAAAATTTTAAAAAATTTGAACTTTTTGAAGAATTTTAGAGCAAGCGTATATTTCTATATGATGTTGACCTTGAATTGACTTCATCCTGAAGATCTCATTGAATCCATCTCGGAATTTAGCGCAATTTTTAATGAAAGTCGTTTTCACATGTTACTATACATGTGAATGCTATGTTTGAATAATGTTATTTTAACCAGGTTTTCCGAAGGAAAAAACTGGTTATTAGATTGAGGTATGTCGGCGGGCGGGCGGGCGGACGGGCGTAAACAATTTCTTCTGTGCGCAACTCCTCCTACATTTCTCAACGGATTTTGACCAAACTTTCACAGAACCTTTGTCATTAAGTGCCCTGGCGCATATTGTCGGGGTTTTGTGATTGGATAATATTTGACCTAATTATGGCCCTTTGTTTTTTTTTCTTATATAGAATATATAGTGAACAATTTCTTCTGTGCGCAATTCCTCCTATATTTCTGAACGGATTTTGACCAAACTTTCACAGAAGCTTTGTCATGAAGTGCCCTGGCACATATTGTCGGGGTTTTGTGATTGGATAATTTTTTACCTAATTATGGCCCTTTGTTTTTTTTCCTTATAAAGAATATATAGTGAACAATTTCTTCTGTGAGCAACTCCTCCTACATTTCTCAACGGATTTTGACCAAACTTTCACAGAAGCTTTGTCATCAAGTGCCCTGGCACATATTGTCGGGGTTTTGTAATTGGATCATTTTTTACCTAATTATGGCCCTTTGTTTTTTCCTTATACAGAATATATAGTGAACAATTCCTTCTGTGCGCAGCTCCTCCTTCATTTCTCTACGGATTTTGACTAAACTTTCACAGAAGCCTTGTCATTAAGTGCCCTGGGGCATATTGTCGTTTTTTTTTAATTTGATAAAAATAGGCATAATTATGGACCTTTGTTTATTTTCCTTATATAGAATATATAGTGAACAATTTCTTCTGTGCGCAACTCCTCCTACATTTTTCTACGAATTTTGACCAAACTTTCACAGAAGCTTTGTCATCAAGTGCCCTGGCGCATATTGTCGGGGTTATGTGATTGTATAATATTTTACCTCATTATGGCCCTTTGTTTTTTTCCTTATACAGAATATATGGTGAACAATTTCTTCTGTGCGCAATTCCTCCTACATTATTCGTGATTTACATTGCACATAGTTACATTGTTTGTTGCTTGTAATTGTATTTCAACTACAACATATTTATCTACAATGGTGATAATTGAAAACCTGGTTTCATGGCATTGCCATGTTTCTTGTCTTATTTTTTCAGGCTGTGCAGAGTTACTTCGATGTACCATTGAATCTTATGATAGTGAACCCGGCTCATACTCCGAACTGGGACATGGTTGCAGATGTAGTCAATAGCTGTAGTCGTGTGTACAGGTCACCGAAACAGTGTCGACTACGTTACGAGAATGTTATAATTCCACGAGAAGAAGGCAGGATCATGTATGACATCACGCCTAGGAAACAGAAGAAACAGAAAGGCATCTATAAAATGGTACACACATAATATTTTTTTGTGAAGATTATGCTCTTTTCAATTACATTAAATTGGAAACAAATGTTACGATCATATAGATTGTACTTGTAACTTCAGTCGTTAATAAATCCATTTGTGCTGTTCCACAACATAACAAATCCATAGTTGAAAAAAACTAAAAAAGCTCCATTCTTTGGAATTATTGGTACAATTTCATACAATTTTTCTAACATTTTGCTGAGAGTTGAATCCAGAATACCATGCCAGCGTCTTCGAATTATTTTATGTGAGAAACCGATTCAGCTAGCTTATAGAACTTTAGTGGTTCTACTCAGGTGTCCAATGACTGACTCGACCAGTAAAGCTGTAAAGTCGCTATATAACCTATACTGTGTTGGTGCGACATGAAACGCAACCAAAAAAAAAATCCGGATTATGTGCTGTTGCTTGATGATAGTGATTGTTTATTAGTGAAAATTATTAAAATGCTATAAATATTTCAGTCCAAGGGTAACCGAGCTATGAAGACAGGTCAGATTCACAGTCAGGATAGTAACAATGGATTGACCATCCTGTATTCACTCAGATTCGACTCAACAAAGAGCATTGCAGGTAAACGACCCCCGACAATGCGTCAGACACTCGTTAATCCTACATTAAAGAATCCAAAGCATGCCAGTGTGTTACAGGAGAACAACATACAGTACGACCAGCCTCTCAATCCGATGCAGGTAGCGGAGATTCGCGCACAGAGGATCCAGCGAGAGAAGAAACAGAATCAGCAACAACAGGCAGCGGCTGCTGTAAGATATTATCCCCCGCTTTTATATAAAAATTAAAACAAAAGTATAAAAAAAATTATTGATTTACAAAATAAAAAAAATTATTGATTTACATGAAAAAGAGAGAATAAACCATTAAATAATTATTTTTTCTAAGTTCGGGGGGCATTATTTAAAATGCAGATTAAAACTGATGTGTATACCCCCCTGGTTTAAGCTTACTTATCTTGGTCTAATTGTCAAAATTATTGTAATAAACTAAAGTTCTTAAAAATTTATTTTTTGCCTCGAAGAGATAACTTGGTAGTATATATTAAGGTTGAGCACTTGTGAAAAGTAGTTTGCAATGATGAAAATATAACCTGTTTTTGATTGTGAAATATACAGTGGAGCCTTGCTAATCCGAACCCTTCTAATCCGGAATCCTTTCTTATCCGAACGAAGTGTCCAGTCCCGATTTTATTCGTTCTATTTTCAATATTAAAAAACCTTTCGGATCCGGAACCTGTCTACTCCGAATTCCGGACGATTTTTTCAATTTTTGTTCTTATTTTACTCTAAAATTTACCTCTCGGATCCGAACAGATTTTGCCAAATGTCACACCTTCATTCTAAATAACAAATAATCACACATCTTGCAGGTGTAAACGTACACCAAACTGATGTGTTATTTCACTTGATTAATGGGTGAAACGTATGATCTGCGAAGGTGTGAAAATTACACTTAGCTTGCCTTCATATCTTCTATAATTGCTTAATTGGTTGTTTTTCGCCACCTTCAATAACTATTTTGATACAATGCAATAAAAATATCTTTAAATCCTTTGTAATGGATTCAATGAAACGTGATTAAGCAATGAAAATTAATAGAAACTGTCAGTGAATTCGGATAGTCGCTGAATCGGATAAGAGTAAACAACAATTGACAAATGCTGGTACGAATATTTAATTATGTCTCCACCTCCTGTTTTACATCGTAGGTTAACTTACCCTTGAGGACATAATATTTTTTTGCTTATTTATTTATTTTTATTTCTTTATTTTTGTATTCACATGTATTAGAATGAATGATAAGAGACTGCAAAAATAAAATATCTAAATTGCAATTTCAAATGCATTCCAGTTTTCTTTCCCTAAACTTTTTTGCAAATACATGTAACATGAAAAAATATGTAAAAGAACCTTCTAATTCGGAAACCTTTCTAATCCGGAAACCTTTCTAATCCGAACTTTTCTTCTGGTCCGGACGAGTTCGGATTAGACAGGTTCCACTGTATTAATATTTTTTGTGTAAAATTATTTCTATTTTTAGATTAATGTGTATCGTTTTGTATGTAGCAATTATTTATATATATTTTTTCGTATACAGGCAAGTGGTGATCAAACAACAACTGTCACTAATGTTACTCCAAGGGTAGCACAACAAGGCATTATAACTGGAGCACAAGTTACGGCACCTACAATTGTTGCCATGACAACAGCAGTAACTGCCGCACAACTGGCTGCCATAGGAACAGCTGCCTCCTCCGCTACTGTTCTGGTAAGTTTATATCATATGTTTTTTATGTTATATACTTTTTACCCCTGTATGATTTCCTGCCGGGGGTGAGGAGACACATTGTTTGAGCTTAAATATATTTTATTACACAGACTGTTTGAATTAGTACATTTAGTAGCATCTTATTGCACTTAATAGATTTTAATTTGATTTCATCAAATACTTGTCTCGTGATTTCTTATAAAGTGTTTATTATTTTACTGAGCTGTAATATTTTATGAAGGATGAACAATGTTTTTGCCTAGAACACATGCGCTATGTTTAGAAGGGAATACCTGTCTTAATGGTGGGAATCAAGATGTTGTGAACATATATATCAACATCACTACTGTTTACTTGTAATAAAAATACAGAAACAAGATACTATGCAAATCTTTTATAACTATACCCCACAGTTAATGTTGTATATTTCAGACTGTACAGACAGGTGGGGCACCTATGCAGGCTGCCATCAGACAACGTGCTCCACTGACAGTGCAGGAGATCAGTTCCGGCACAAGTGTTGTAGGTCAAGTGGCTGGGGCTGCTGTCTCACAAGTTCGAGCACAGCTTCAAACCACAACGGCTCCCCCTGCTCTTACACCGGTACAGCTGGCTCAGAGGATCACTGCTGCAACCACTCATGCTAGTGGGGGTAAGATATTTCTCAGTTACAAAATTATATTTAAAAATGACAAAAATTATTTGTAAACATGACTTTTAAACTAACTGCAAGATGCACTCTGTGCCGAGATTTATATATCGGTCCAATTTCACTTCTTGCCACAGTAATTTCTGAGGAATTGTTCAGTCTGTTTTGTATATGTTACATAATAGAATACAGTTCTTGGAGACAGTTATATTAATATTAACAATATTTTATGTATCATTGCCTCGACATTCAGATTAGAAATGGTTAAAAATTGTTAATACAGATAGATAATTATCTTTTTCCATGTTTCAAAACTTTCATTTTTAGGATTTATTGATAAGAAAAGTATGTTTTCATTATGCATAGTGAAATAAAATCCTGGGCGAAAATTAAGGAGTAAGTTTAATTTTGATTTAATTGATTTTATTTAAACTTGTATAGTATCATCAATTAAATCTGGCCAATTAGCTCTCTCCCACTGCTAAAACAATTAAGAAACGTTAAGTCTGAATTTCTGCTGACTAAATTACCATTAGACCATATTTAATCCATACTAACTTTACATATTGCAAGATGCACTCTGTGCTGGAATTGTTGTATTTCAGTCCAATTTCACTTCTTGCCACATTAAAATACAGAAAAACAACTGTAGTTGGTGAGATACATTCTTATCAACATTGTTGATGTTTTGAACATGTAATGCCCTAAAACTTAAAGTATTATTTGGAGAATACATATTTGAACATTAAAAATTGGTTTGGAGCAGTGCTAGGATAAGGTCCATCTATTTTTAAGTTCCTGTGTCATTGCATTAAAGATCCTGTATATTGTAATTAAGGATGTAACAACACTTATGTGAAATTTTATATATATGCATATAATTATTCTTCTGTAACAATTTCCAAACATCCAAGAATATGTTAAATATGTACTGCAAATGTTTGGTAATATCTTTATAAATAATGCTTTTTGGAACTAACAATATTGATAAATCTTCATTTGTGCATCATATTTATGATATAAAACCTTAAAGAAAATTGAGTTACAGGATCTTTAATGTGATGCCTTACAGACAGTAAGGGGAGCAGTAGGTAATAGGTCACGGTGTCCGCCTCTAAACAGTGTCTGTCTGTGTTGCTTAACAGGAAGAGTATCAAAATTGTTGTCATTGGGTTGATAGTTTGATCATTTTGCGAGGCAAAGTCTGTAGGTTGCTACTCGTGAGTTATGGACTGTAAAACTGTCACATGGTAGGAAGTGATGTCATAGGGAAACGGGTCAATTAAGGAATCATAACTATATGCAGCCTAATAGTTGAAACGTCTGTATTTAGGTGTAGATATTAGTTTAATTGGTAGATTTTGTGAAATTGCAGTTCAGCAGCAACTACAGGGTAAAACAGCACTAACACCTCAACAGTTCCAGTTGCTACAGCAACAACAACAACAACAAACACTGATTAACAGACAGAAACAACAACAAGTTCTTCAACAGCAGCAACAACAGATCCGTAATATGCAGAAGCTTAACCTAGTAAGTTACATGTTCTGAAAATCTAGTGCAGAGTTACCATTGACTTAAAACCACTTGACCCTCTGGCCTCAACGCTGTGGGTTCAAATCAAGTCAAGGACTTTGGATTCTTTCAAGTGAAGAAGTTATCCAGCTAGTGTACGCAACAATGGTGTTTCACACATGTCATCATCTGCATTAGTAAAACCTCTCTGGCGTGGGTTCGATCCCAGGGAGATGCTTTGTTAGTTTAGCATGGAGGATGGTAGTCTAGTACTGGTGTAACTCTCCAGGAACGATGGTTAGGAAACTACCGGCCTATGTGACTGAAATATTGTCGGGAAAAGGCGTAAAATGAAACAAACAAACAAGACATTACTTGGAATCCAACCTAGTAAATCATCAGTAATTAACATTGCCATAGTAATTTGTTCTTAACAAATTAAAGTAAGAAACACAAGAAAAGTTTGGTTACATGTAAAAATGGTTTAAAGTGGATTGGTCTACAATTGGCAAATAAGTATTTCAGATATTGGTAAAAAAACCAAACATAATGGGTTTGCGACTAGCATGGATCCAGACCAGCCTGCTCATCCGCGCAGTCTGGTCTGGATCCATGCTGTTCGCTATCAGTTTCTCTACTTGTAATAGAGTTGGTAAGCGAACAGCATGGATCCTGATCAGACTGCGCAGATGCGCAGGCTGGTCTGGATCCATGCTGGTCGCAAACCCATTATGTTGGTTTTGTCATGGCACGGCTCATTTGTTCTTGAACAATATATTATGTGCTATATGTAGATATGTTATAAAGCGACACTTACTGACAATATCCACACAAGTCTTTCACATGGAATGTTGTCGCATATACTAAATTAGTATCAACATAGTAATGATATAACAGACCTCCCAATTTTGGACCAATTCACTTTAAGGGAATTAAGAAAAACATATAGGTATACCTTTATCTTACAGCCAACAGATACTGTGCGACATCCACAGCTGAGACAGTTAAAGGGTCCTCTGATACAGGGAGGAAAAACAGTGATAGCTCAACAGCTTGTTACAAGCATGGCACAGGTATTGTTTAATATTCATGATATTTTATGTACTTTATTAATGAAATCTTAGGTATTGTGTAATATTTATAATATTTTATGTACTTTATTAATGAAATCTTAGGTATTGTGTAATATTCATGATATTTTATGTACTTTATTAATGAAATCTTGGGTATTGTGTAATATTTATGATATTTTATGTACTTTATTAATGAAATCTTAGGTATTGTGTAATATTTATGATATTTTATGTACTTTATTAATGAAATCTTAGGTATTGTGTAATATTTATGATATTTTATGTACTTTGTAAAATTAATCTAAGGTTTTATATGTGATACCCTCAACAGCTTTTAGACCTTTTAATAGTTAGTTGTTACAAAATTTTAACTTGATTATTCAAAGAATAGGGAGAGCTATTGTACTCCCCAGGTTTTTGTGCACAAGTCAGTAGCTAGGGAATGTATTGAAACTTCACACTTACTTGAGGGCATGATAGTATGTTGTTGTCCAAGGCTCGTAACTCTTACCATGGCCTTTGACAGAATTATGACCCTTTTTGAACTTAGAAAAATTGTACATTATCCAAGCTCTTGTTTTACTATAATAATAGTCGACCAGACTGTCTTCCTGCTCTTTGTTATTAAATTAAATCTTTCTTTTTTCCTGAATTAAAAAAAATGATTCAGCACTGTGGTTAACAGGCCTCATACTACAGCAGTAAAATACTTGTTCCAACTTGAGAAATAGCAGTATTTTGATGGTTTTGTAAGAATATAACTAGTTAATTTCTGGCATGGAAACATCAGACAGCATTGCAAAACCTTCAAGCCTAAAATTATAAGATTGTATTTGCAGTAACTTACAGGTAGATGGTACTTTGCTGCTAGCCTCATTAAATTTGCTTTATTCTGACAGACTTATTTATATTAATGTTTCTAATCTAACGTTTTTCAGGCTGGTCAATTAAAGGCAGGGACTCATCGACCTTTGACCCCTGATGAGCTTGCCCGGTTCAAGCAGCAACAGTTGACACAACAGAAGGTGGCCGGAACATCAGTGGCTCATCTTCATCATCCACAGGTATAGTTCATTGAGCCGCGTCACGACAATAGTTCGCAACCAGCATGGATCCAGACCAGCCTGCGCATCTGCGCAGTCTGATCCAGATCCATGCTGTTAGATTTCAGTTTCTCTACTTGTAATAGGGTTTGTAGGCGAACAGCATGGATCCTGATCAGACTGGGCGGATGTGCAGGATGGTCTGGATCCATGCTGGTCGCAAACGCACTATGTTGGTTTTGTCATGACGCGGCTCAATTAACTTTTATCTAAAGCAGCATGCCTCCAGATATATAAAATTTTGAAAATGTATTTAAAAGTAAAATATTTTGAAAATGAATAAAGAGAGTAACTTACACATTGCAAAAGCACTTACAATCCACATTTATAACGAAAAGGTGGTCAAATATATGCAAAAATAACCCTTAATGAATAAGTCATGCTGTAGAAATATGGTGATAAGTACTGTAAAATCAGTCCTGAATCGCACCATAATATGCAAATAACTGCTCATGTGTCTCAGGATTCTACATGTGAGAATGTTGGCTTATGGAAATATGCGGTTCTTCTAAGGCACACGAGATCTTTCTCCACTAGTAAAGCTGGAAAGTCTCCATATGACCTACACTGTGTTGGTGTTCTGTAAAACCCAACCCCAAAAAAAACAATCTAACAAAAAAATATGCAAATTATTATTTCTTGAATCTTTTTAAAAATCTTGGTACATTTTTCTGAAATTTGAATTTCTTGAACTATTTGGTCTCATCTGGAGGCATGCATCTCATCTGGAACTTTTGCCACCAGTTTAGAGCTAGGCCTGCAGTTCTGTGCAGTCTTTCCAGGTTCTCAACTGTTAGCTGATCAACTTAACAAATTGTCACCTTGATATACCCAAATTGATAATTGACTGTTCTAAAAATGGAAATTGGACAAGTTTATTTTAAGAAATTAGGCATGTTAAGGATAAACAGGATATAATTCAATGTCTTATATCTTTCTATAGTTTCACAGTCCTTAAATAATTTTTTTTTTTAAATGGCCGAATAAGAATGATAAATTCATTGTAAAGATTGTTAAAGAGATTATTAAAAATACTTATGTTAACCACATTCATTTTTCTTTATTTTAGATACAGAGTACCCAGATAATTGCCGGTACCCCTATACAACAAGTTAGCCAAGCATTATCTAAGGTGACAGGGCAACCAGCTACATTAGTTAAGACTGTGACAGCCCCTGCAGGCAGTGTAACAATACCTGTTAGTAACGTCAGTATAAACGTCAGTATGCCACAGAAAGGAGGTGTAGGTAAGTTATTGTTACCATCACATTGTACTAATGCATAGATCTCTGACCTGTCTAATTCTAATTATCAGATTTATTTCATTAGTGGATACGAAATTCACCACAACATATTTGTTAAAAAAACAGCACATGTCAATGTTTGTGGCTAAATCTATTGTAATTCAATCTACCGGGTATCAATTTTCATGTAATTATTCTGGAAATAACGAAGTGCACGAATGATCTGAAATTTTGCACACAGATTAGTGGTCTAAACCTACATCAAATGGTACATTTTTTTGGAAAAAAATATTTTCAATCCCATCATGTCAAAAAACCTCCCTTTAAAGTATGTCAAAATGATTATTTTATGTTTCAGCCAAAGTTAGTCAGATCAATCCACAACAAATGCATCTTCTACAACAGAGGAAACAAATACCAGTACAAAAAAGTGAGTTTTCATTCATACCTTTTTGAACAGAAATATTGATAATGGCAATCTATCAGTACAAAGTTGGGTCAGCTGGACTGTACAGGCAGTCTGACCTGGCTCCTCGGATGTTTTTGTTTCAGTTCAGTTTTATATTTTGATGTTCAAACCAGAAACCTTTCACAAAGTCTTGAAGAAAGCATGAGTAAAGTAGTAATTTTTAGCTCGACTATTCGATAAGAATAAGTAGAGCTATTGCAGTCACCCGAGCGTCGGCGTAACCACTTATGTTAAAGTTTTTGTAATAGTTCAAATATTTTCAAAGTCCATTGACATATGGCTTTGAAACTTTGCACACTTGTTCACCATCATGACCCCAACCTGTAGACAGGAGGAGGTAACTCTATCAAGCATTTTGACAGAATTATGCCCCTTTTTCGACTTAGAATTTACGTTAAAGTTTTTGTAATATTTCAAATATTTTCAAAGTCCATTGACATATGGCTTTGAAACTTTGCACACTTGTTCACCATCATGACCCCAACCTGTAAACAGGAGGAGGTAACTGTATCAGGCATTTTTTTTACTATCAAGCACTAAGAATAGTCGAGCATGCTGTCCTACCGACAGCTCTTGTTCAATAGGTTATTGCTTGTTAGTTATCCAGGAATGCCAGTTAGGTGGATTAACTGTTTGGGTTATATTAAAAAAAAACGTCTTAAAGTCTGTGTTAAAACCAGAAAAATGTAAATCAATAAGAACGCTATGTGGTTATTTGTCAGCATTGATTTCCTAATATCTAAAAAATCAGGGTTTTCAATTTTTAGGACAGAAAGCAACATGTATTTGATATGATGTTAAGTTCATCAGTGCTAATATGACTCCATGTTTAGAACATAAGTACTTTAAGTTATGTATGTTATTTCAGGTATAGGAAAAGCACAACAGATGTTAAATGCCGTACAAGTTATACAGCAACCTGGAAGATTAACGGTCCAGCAACTACATCAGCTGGTGAAGCAGCAGTCACAAGGTGGCACTATACAACAGATCATTCATACTTCCCAACCTACCATCATAGCAACAGTTACACAGAGCCAAGCAACACCACAGATGGTAACCAAGGTGATCTCTACCACGGCAACTGTACAAGCTCCTCAAATTCAGCAGACTATACAAGGAGCTGCACAGATAGTTGGTAGCTCGGCAACGGTTACTACGGTCCCTGTACCATCTTCATTGATCTCATCTCTACCTCAAGGTCAGTCTTCAATGACTGCTAGTATTGTTAAACCTGGAACTGTCAGTGGGGTTGAGGCTGTAACAACGGTTCAGATTCATCCAATTTCATCTATTACTCAGTCCAAGTTGACGGGAGTTCCGCAAAACGTGGTGGTAACGCCTGTCCAGTCTGTACAACATGTTACTGTTGCTGCCCCGGGTGGTTCGCAGCAGGCTCACATTCCAACAGGATCCCAGGTTGTGGTCTCTGCTGCCCCGGCGCCGGCTCAGACACTTCAAGTAACTGTTCCAGCATCTACCCAGGTTCAAGCTTCAATTCAGCATGTTAATGTTCAACAGGCACAGGCAGCACATGCTACAATTGGTGGTCAAAGAGGGGCAAGTAACTCTCCTGCACCCCTCACCGTCACAGTAACTCCTAATCCACCGTCAGTGACAGTCACCCCAGGGACACCTGTAACATACACATCTGCTCCACCATCACAACCCCACATCTCACAACCAGCAGACCAGGCGTCTCAACAACAACAAACTGTTGCCACGATACTGCAAACACAACGTCAAGCTGCAGCACAACAGCATACTATACCAGTTCAGCACACACCATCTGCCCAGCCGTCACAAACCATACACATTCATTCATCGGCACAGCCTGCAACACAAGGGCAGCCTCAAACACCCACACAGTCCCCTCAAGCTCAGGGTAAAACCGGGAGTTATGGTCTGAGGACAAGACACCAGACTAAACCACAATGAAGAACAAGTGTTTACTTTGTGTTTTTTGTCTTTAAGGTCTCGCACTTCCCGACATAAAGTTGGTCTTTATGAAGCACGCGATACGTTATCAGTGACATATTAGTACATACATGAAATAAATGTTATGTGTACTTGTGGAAAGACTTGACGCGTTTGACAATAGGGAAGTTTAATATTAACGTCTGATATTACATTTTGCGAGAAAAAGTTGCTGGATTACATATCAGTTGAAATGAAAATTCAGTGGAAAAGTGAATGTACTTTACACATTTGTGAAGGAAAATGTTAGATAGGGCGATAAGAAAACTAATAAAAACAGTAGTAGATATTATGTGCAATGTAAGTTATTTATGTGCGATGAACACGAACTTATACATTGCAATGTTAAATGTTCTGTGGTAACATAGATTTACTACATGAACATTGTAAAGCAATGGTTATTTCTGCAAGATAAGGCTTTTTCGGGATAAATAAACGGGGTTACCCATTTTGGGCCTCAAAAAAAGAAGAAAAGATATCATGGCTTTAATTACAGCCTTGCGTATACCTAGAGTGATTTGTTAAATGTTCAGAACTTCTTATGTTGATAAGAGACAGATAAACAACTCTGCAACTCAGACTGCCTAAGGTGCCACTCTGCGTTATTTCTTGTCCATTTGTGCTTGAAATATGGCAGAGGCACCCGAGGCCTCCAGTAAAGCTAGAAAATCGCCATATGACCTATACTGTGTTGGTGCGATGAAAAACCCATAAAAAAGAACAACAAAAAACTCGGACTGCCACACAGGCAAGTAATAAAGGATTGCCCCCTTACAAATTGAATCCAAATAAGGTACAAATAAGGGTTCACCTTAAAAAAATTATATTAATGTCAATTCGTTGAAAATGTGAATGCCTCGTTCACGGAAAATTGAGTTCTACTTAAGTATTTTGATCATGTAGCTGTATCAGCTAATGTTTAGTAAGTTATTTTATATTTTTAGTTGTCGACTTCGTAAATTATTTATGACTATAATAAAATCAGTGATAAAAACCTTTGATGCTTCGATCTTGTTTAATCTTTCCCCAGGTATACAGATTTATGTATAAAATTGAGGTCTAGCTTCTGCTTATATTTTCTACAATTTTCATTACAATTTTCACTTTTGAGGGGTCTAGAGTAGGAGTCTACCGGTCGGTCTCTACCCTAAGACGCCCAAGACTACGTTAAGACAATCCAAGACTTACTGAAATTTAAATACGGTTTTAATTTTACATTGCTTACGGGAGGTAACTATGCGATTTTCACATGTACACATCGAGTTATCTCCCTGTATTTCTAAAAAAAATTATATATTCTTGTTTGTGCAAAATAATTAACAAAAATGAAATAATGCCAAGGTTGCGGGATTTGGGTGTAATGCTAGTTTAATTCTGTTTATGGGTGACACATTTTTGATGCCTGATTATAAAATCATCATATTCTGTTTCATCATATTGATTTTATTAGATCATCTGCCCCACATTTCATTTTAACATAGTCTTATTGTTTCAGTAAAGTTAATTTTAATCAAAATATTTTTTTATATTAAAGAGCAAATCAATAAATATTTTAGTGATGAAAAAAGTCCATACAAAATAACAATATTTGATGTATTGGACAGTAATTAACAAGATGACACGTAAATAATCAGTCGTCATATATAATAAAACTTTCCCAATTTACACAATTTATAAGTTTCTTTAGTCTTGGGACTAGAAATGTGTATCTTTTTTGTCCCAGAGTAGTCTTTGGGTAAATAGACCGACCCGAGGTATTCCCCTTGTGCAAACTCCCAGTAAGAATAAAAATCGGCCAAATGAACACAGATCTGCGGATGATACTAAATTCTAAATTTCACCATTGCCATGATTAAATGTTGAATACTGCTTAAGCTGGTGCTAGTGGGCGTGGATGGTAGTTTGCCATTGACATTACCGTCCATGAACGGGCTCGATCAAGCTGAGCATGTAGCATTATCAATTGTGTCGTTTTGGACTGATGTTAGGGATTTTTATTTTCTTTATTTTGCCTAAAGCCTTTTCATATTTAGTATGATCCTAAAGAGGTCAACAAATATATGTGACGGGTCCTGAAACATTTCCAGCTTACCCGTTTATACACCATACCGTAACATTTTATGTAATTTTTTTACACAGAAACAAACTTGTCCAGTACATGTAGTTGTGGTTGGTTAAGTGGTTGAAGACATAAACATTAAAAAAGCTCATTTTATACAACCTCAAGTACGAGAGTGAAATAATGAGGTAAAACATAATGGAGAACATGTTATCAGTAACCTACATTATTGGTCCAATAATACAGCATGGTTTTGATCTATGAGCTATATTTAATGGACATTTCATTGTCAAAGTAGATAAACTACTTAATAAGAGTATGCTGGTAAGAAATCATTCATTAAGTTAATGTTAAGATGATTTAGCTAACTTCAAAACGTATCGAACTTTTGATACATTCGTTATGTGATAAAATTCTCTGCCCTTGCGATTTGACGGCAATTTACTTTTCAAGTAGATAACAGAAGTTCAGTTTTAGTATTGTAAAATAGTGAAATACGGAATCCCTATGAAATGACAAAATTGAAAATGTAAACCTGTTCATGGACGGTACTGAAAAGTTCAAGTTAGCGTCCACGCCCTCTAGCAGAATTCAACATTTTGACACGAAAGCGATGCATTTTGAATTTTTAAACATCCGCCGATACATTCATACGGCTTTTTTATCATGGAATCTTTAATGCCACCACAGGAAAAGTGGCGTATATTCCCCAAGTAAAAGACAAGAAAACAATGGGCTGTAATTTTGAAATGGGATAACAGGTTATTAATTAAGCCTGCATGTGACAGATAAGACGGCAAAAGACACATTTAAAAAGTAGGCACCATATCCTAAGCGTGATTATACAGTAAACAAGGATACGATTTGTAACCGTATAATCAGTTTTAATGGCATGTATGATTTTACATTCTTTCGTATCACCGCAATCATTTATCTACTTATATTTCTATCCTCTATGAGGAGTGTGATGATAATAATGAAAAAGTTGATCAACAAATTTTGATAAAGGTAATAAAGAAAAAACATGACGACGATGATTAATAAAGAACGGGCATGCTAACAAAAAAGTGACGATGACTAGTGAAATTGGAAATGATTATAATTAAATGTCTGTAATTTATTTTTACACCATGTGACACAGGAACAAACAAGAAATTATGCACGCAAATAAACATACCATGTACTATCATATCACTGAATTATGCAATGATAAAAATGTATCATTTTTCAAAAATGAATCATTTTTCAAAAAAAAGAAAAAAGATTTTACAGCAGGAAAATATGTATAAGGGTCGACATTTTCGGTTTCGCGTTAATACATGGACAAACAAGTGTAACTAATAAAGTGCAGCTAAAATATTTGTGTAAGTATACATTTTAGACAAATTATGATAATTTTGTGTTAAAGAGGCATGCCGTCTCTAGATGAGTAACAAAAATAATGAAAAAAAAAATATAATTATTATATGAAACATCCAGTGAACATTACGTAAAGGTCGTTGAGTTCAAAACATTTACCCCTCACCGCTGTGTTTTCGAAACCTGATAGGGACTTTTGGATTCTTTCATGTGAAGAAGGTAGCTTAAGGAACGTCGGTTGTTTCTGAAATAATAGTAACAAATGTTAGATATGGGAGCGCTATCCAAAATTAGCAGGTGTTATGCATTTTTTTAAACCAAGAATATTTACGAAAATTGGTTAACAGTATCTATGTATTACAGACATGATGAGGGTCCGCCCGCCTTTCAGGCACTGATACTACGGACACTGGAACTGTCACAATTTATGTTCCTTAAGGTTATTATCTACGAAAAGGTAGCCTATAAATTTGAATTCAGTAATTCACTGAATAATTCTAAATATGTATGCAAGACGATTTTTGTAATTAACAGGAGAGCGTTAACACTCCTTGTGAATTTCAAAATCCTAGCCAACTCCTACTTCAGTTTTATCATATTTGCGAAATATTGTTCTATTGTTAAGATAATTTCATTAGTTGTATTGTTCATCGGCTGATTAAACATTAAACATAACTATCAAGGACAATAATTATATATCTATGTATAATGTAATTTATCGAAGGTACATGTAATACCTTAATTGGTTACTCATACGTACAGCTTAAAATTTGACCAAAAAAGGGCCACATTTATAGTCTGTTATGGTAAATACATTTTTGTTCGATAAATTCGATGAATTAGTCATCTGATTTTAATTATTGAACTGACACAATCGAGTGTAAAATTATCCAAGCGGAAAAAGTTGAAAATTCGTAATTTGCCGGAAATTTGTAAAAATGATATTTTTCTCTCTAAAGACTGTATGGAATAAGTTTCAAAATATTGTATGGTGTCCATGATCATTATTTACAGCCTACTAGCGACTGGACATGCTGTAATTGAGCCGATTTCAAGCTGTATGTCTGCAGATGAGCCAAAACTGTTAAGAAAATCAATCTTGAGATAAATTGTTCTTAGATTTAAAGCTTACGTATTAAGGGCTATTTTTGCATAGTCTGAAGAGAGATTTATTATATTGAATCTTTACAGAGACGCTGCATATTATATACAATTTCATAGACACTCGGTAAACATGCCGTCATTCCGAGGTTCAGGAAATCCTCGTGCTTCATTTGTTGTTGTCCCCCGCCTTTTCGAAGAAAAAGGGGGATATAGAAATAGGCTCCGTCCGTCTGTCCGTCCGTCCGTCACACTTTCGTGTCCGGTCCATAACTTTGTCATTTATGAAAGGAATTTGAAATAACTTGGCACAAATGTTTATTATAATAAGACGATGTGTCATGCGCAACAACCAGACCCCTACCTCCAGGGTCAAGGTCACACTTGCTCATTCAAGGTCAACATTGCCTATTTGCTTATATGTCGTGTCCGGTCCATAACTTTCTTATCTATGAAGGGATTTTGTAAATACTTGCCATAATTGTTCACAATAATCAGACGATGTGTCATGCGCAAAAACCAGTCACCTACCTTCAAGGTCAAGGTCACACTTGGAGGTCAAATATTAACATAGTCTGTTACAGGGAATATTTTGTGTCCGGTCCATAACTTTGTCATTTATCAAAGGAATTTGAAATTACTTGGCACAAATGTTTGTTATAATAAGACGATGTGTCATGCGCAACAACCAGACCCGTACCTTCAGGGTCAAGGTCGTACTTGCTCATTCAAGGTTAACATTGTCTATTTGAGGGTATATGTCGTGTCCGGTCCATAACTTTCTTATCTATGAAGGGATTTTGTAAATACTTGCCATAATTGTTCACAATAATCAGACGATGTGTCATGTGCAAAAACCAGTCACCGACCTTCAAGGTCAAGGTCACACTTGGAGGTCAAATATTAACATAGTCTGCTACAGGGTATATTTCGTGTCCGGTCCATAACTTTGTCATTTATCAAAGGAATTTGAGATAACTTGGCACAAATGTTTGTTATAATAAGACGATGTGTCATGCGCAACAACCAGACCCATCCCTTCGAGTCAAGGTCGTACTTGCTCATTCAAGGTCAACATTGCCTATTTGAGGGTATATGTCGTGTCCGGTCCATAACTTTCTTATCTATGAAGGGATTTTGTAAATACTTGCCATAATTGTTCACAATAATCAGACGATGTGTCATGCGCAAAAACCAGTCACCTACCTTCAAGGTCTAGGTCACACTTGGAGGTCAAATATTAACATAGTCTGTTACAGGGAATATTTTGTGTCCGGTCCATAACTTTGTCATTTATCAAACGAATTTAAAATTACTTGGCACAAATGTTTGTTATAATAAGACGATGTGTCATGCGCAACAACCAGACCCGTACCTTTAGGGTCAAGGTCGTACTTGCTCATTCAAGGTTAACATTGTTTATTTGAGGGTATATGTCGTGTCCGGTCCATAACTTTCTTATCTATGAAGGGATTTTGTAAATACTTGCCATAATTGTTCACAATTATCAGACGAATTGTCATGTGCAAAAACCAGTCAGCGACCTTCAAGGTCAAGGTCACACTTGGAGGTCAAATATTAACATAGTCTGCTACAGGGTATATTTCGTGTCCGGTCCATAACTTTGTCATTTATCAAAGGAATTTGAGATAACTTGGCACAAATGTTTGTTATAATAAGACGATGTGTCATGCGCAACAACCAGACCCATCCCTTCGAGTCAAGGTCGTACTTGCTCATTCAAGGTCAACATTGCCTATTTGAGGGTATATGTCGTGTCCGGTCCATAACTTTCTTATCTATGAAGGACTTTTGTAAATACTTGCCATAATTGTTCACAATAATCAGATGATGTGTCATGCGCAAAAACCGGTCACCTACCTCCAAGGTCAAGGTCACACTTGGAGGTCAAATATTAACATAGTCTGTTACAGGGTATATTTTGTGTCAGGTCTATAACTTTTTCATAGATCAAAGGATTTTGAAAATACTTCGCACAAATAGTCACTATAATAAGAGGATGTGTCATGCGCAACACCTGCATCCCTACCTCCAAGGTCAAGGTCACACTTAGAGGTCAAAAATTAACATAGTCTGTTATAGGGTATATTTTGTGTCGAATCTAGAACTTCTTCATAGTTCAAGGGATTTTGGAATAACTTGGCACAAATAGTCACAATAATAAGCCGATATGTCAGGTACAACACCTGCACCCCTACCTCTTAAGGTCAAGGTCACACTTAGAGGTCAAAGGTTAACAGAGTCTGTTATTTGGTATATTTTTTGTCCTGTCCATTACTTCTTCATAGATTAAGGGATTTTGAAAATACTTGGCACAAATAGTCACAATGATTAGATGATATGTCATGCGTAACATCTGTGTCCCTACCTCCAAGGTCAAGGTCACACTTAGAGGTCAAAGATTTACATAGTCTGTTATAGGGTATATTTTGTGTCCAATCTATAACTTCTTCATAGTTCAAGGGATTTTGAAAATACTTGGCACAAATAGTCTCAATAATAAGACGTTGTGTCATGCACAACACCTGCTCCCCTACCTCCAAGGTCAATGTCACACTTAGAGGTCAAAGCTTAACATGATAGATTTTTAAATTCCGTGTTTCATTTCATTTTTTTAACAAATTTATTGTTACATTTGCAGATCTAGCATTGACCATAATTTTGGACTGAATGTCCTGAGATCCATACTTCAATCTTTTGAAATAGCACAATTTTATGCTTCATATAAAACTCCCGGGGCGGGGGACGTTGGTAACTCTGTTACAAATTCTTGTTATACATGAAGAAAGTTATAATTTCCTTGCATTTCTATATCACACACGCTATATTTAACAGTATGAAGTTTATTTGGGTTCAAATTTATACATGTCCCTGCCCATCTTATTATTGGCGAGGCTGTCAGCAGAGACAATAGTGACTCTAATAAAATATTGAGTTGTACAACGTGTGGATCTAAAGTTTGTTGGCTTTATGAACAAAAGTTCTACTATATATGTCAAAATAACACCAGATTGACAGGAAGTTAACGGCATTTTAAATTTCTAGTCAGTGGTAAATATTATGGCATTTTCATGTCTGAAATCGCGATATATTGAACAGACAACCTCTAACACACCTTATCCTTTGCTTTAAATCTATTTTAGTGCCGTGATAAGGCGAACAAAATTGTACCACTAGCATTGAACGCTAAATATCTTTTAATTTTAGTTTACAGCCAGGCGTCAATCACAGTGGATATCCCATATCTATATAGTGACAAAAGATCTGCGCAACAATGGGTAAGTGTATGGAGTTGAATGTGGAATCCAACTTGCTTTGAACTTGCTGTAAACAAATTTTATGTATTTTATGACTTTCCATAATTGTCTTCTGTGACATAATTAGAAATGAGAAATCTCACATACGTTGTCATACCAAATGGCATTTAACGATTTCAATTTTTTTACAAAGTCAGCCTGTGACAAGCTTTAAAACATTGTCTTAATACAATTTTATATGATATGAAACTGAATGAGAAATGAGTTTTATCACATGATTAAACACTATGACATTCATGAAAAAACAAAACATATTGCTTTGGACGTTGTACGTGCACTTTTTTACAACTATGTGCAATTACACGTGTGAAAGAAATACGGAATGGTTATATAACTAAGAACACAAACGGTAGGATGTGATAGAAAGTTTTATTATTCTGTATGATTTTTTTTTCTGGAGTATTCATTAATTTAGTATGAATTTCCAAATGTATTCATAGAACTTATACAGTTACAAGTTTATCTTATTTTTGCATTACAAAGTTTAATTAATCATATAATTTCTGTAAAAAAACGTCTTTTTGTTTGCTTCGTTGACTTTACAAAAGCATTTGATTTTATTGTTAGGGATAATCTATGGTTAAAGCTGATAAAATTAGGAGTCAGGGGAAAAGTAATGAAAGTTTTGAAATCTATGTATACAAACGTCAAATCCAGAACTAAATTATCAAATATATTGAGCGAAACTTTCATGTGTTCATTAGGGGTCCGTCAAGGGGACAGCTTGTCCCCTTTTCTCTTTTCTATGTACATATATGACTTAGAAGATACTTTTATATTAAAGCGTTTTAAAGGCATAGACTTAGGTACTCTGAAATTGTTCTTATTATTATACGCAGACGACATTGCTATTATATCGGAAACAAAAGAAGATCTTCAAAATGGATTAAATATTTTAAAAGATTATTGTGACGAATGGAAACTAAAACTAAACGCTAATAAAACAAAAGTAACGGTTTTTAAAAAGGGAGGCAATTTTTAAACTTAACTCTTATATGCAAAACTTTCCTAATATCTCAGTTTCACACACACTCGACCTTTTTGACAAGTTAATAACACCCTTTTTAAAGCTATGGATGCGAGGTATGGGGCTATATGGAAGCAAAAAAGATAGAAAATATACATTTGAAATTTTGCAAAAAATTATGAGGAGTAAGGCCACAAACTCAAAATAACTTCGTTTATGGAGAATTAGGCAGAAAACAATTAATACAGCTTAGAATGATACGAATCTTAAAATTTTGGTTTAAGATATTGAAATCGGAACAACATTTGTACATTAAAAAAGTTTACAATATGATGATCTTTAATATAGAATAAAAACCAAATTATAAATGTTGGGCTAATTCAATTAAACAATTACTTCAGAGACTAGGGTTTTACCATGTTTGGGTTAATCAGGGTGTGGGAAATGAAATTTTATTTTTGAACTTGGTAAAACAGAGACTTAATAACTACATGCAAAACTGGAAAGAATCTCTACGCAATTCATCAAGAGCTTCCCTTTACATTCTTTGTTCAAACTTTAATTTTAAATTGTATCTTGAACAAATTAACATTCAGAAATTTAGAATAGCATAAACAAGATTTAGAGTTTAAGCACATAGGTTGTTAATTGAAACAGGGAGATGGCATAAACCAAACAAAATTCCAAGAAATGAAAGAAAATGTATAATATGTAACAAACTCGAGGATGAATACCATTTTTATTAGAATGTACTTTATATTGTGAAATAAGAACTAAGTATTTACCAAAGTACAACTGGAAAAGACCAAACATACCTAAATTTATCGAATTAATGTCAAATGAATCGACTGTAGCATGATGAGTAAACTGTAACATAATACTCTAGGTGCGTACAGCTCCTTTATAATAGAGAGTTCTCTAGATCTTAAAATACTACCATCACGGACACTGATATGTAAACACATGTATCATATAATATAGTTTAGATAATAAACGTAGTTAGAGCACATATATATATATATTTATGTCGTTCATAAACCCATGACTTAACATCGACTACTATGATAAGAAAACTGTTTACTTTTATTTATAAAGCTTTTGAAATCCGTACACCGATTTACTTTTCTTAAAAATAAATTCATTCACACTTTTCGCCTAAACGTCATTTGTACAAGTATATATTTATAATCTATTTTGGTTAATCATTCAATACTTAAAAAATATACATTTTATATGTAAGTGTAATGCACATGTGTATTTGATTATTAGTTCATGTTATACGATATGCAATATTAAATTTCTTCTAGTAAAACACACATATTTATATGTGATTGTAATGTATTTGATCACAAGTTCATGTTGTATTGTGAATTATTAAGTTTCTTCCGGTTAAAACATATGCATGCAACACAATTAATTCTATTATTTACATAAAATGTGTACCTTCAACTAAAATATTACATGTCTTTTAGAGACTGTTATATGTCATTGTTATATGTCACCATTGACCGACCTATATTTATTATAAAATGATTGATTGTATACCATGACACTCATGGGTTTGTAACTTCTTGTGAATAAAGATTATTATTATTATTATCTTATCGGTTTAGAAGTACATGTCAGTAGATATCCAGAATGTTCATTTTTTTCACTATTTAAGTATTTTGATGATTTTGTATCTACAAATTTCTCCAATACAGATGCCTCCAATAAAACCATAGATCTGTATCACCGCAGCACAAACAAAGCATTAGATGATGAAACATCAATAGATGAATTCCTCAATCAAATGGAAGAAGATTGTAATCTCACATGTGGCTCTAGTGTTTACAGGAACTTTATCATTACAAACCATTCGTCATATATTCTCGCGGATTGTGTTGGGACCGTGGTGGCTATGATAATGTTTGTAATTGTGATGATGATAGTGATGATGATGGTGATGATGTGATGATGATGATGATCACAATCACTGTAATATTGGTTGCTTTGCTTTTGATGCATGGAAGCGATGAGGCAGCAAACACGTATCAGAACCGAAATGGTCTTCGTTCCCTTAGATATAGATATGATTAATAGAAAATAAACTTCCTATATAGATAATGATTAAAAAAGACTATATTTTGTAGCAAGTGCAAATATTTTGTTTGAATTGTAATTTACATGATGTAGAAGACGAATATCATTTTAAATTGTTCGTATTAAACTGATAACAAATGTAAAAGCATATATAAATCGATACCTTTTATTCAAACCATATCATGTTTATATTCATTGCTATAATGAAATCTGAAAAAGAAATGTATCTTTATTGAAATAGATGCTTTGTTTTCTAACGTCCTTAGAGGTCATTAACATATTAAGCTGTAATGACAATTCATCTTCTATATTGATTTGAAAAGTACATGTTTAAAACTGATCCCTTTGATTTATGTATCAATTTATTGTTCAGTTGTTGTTATTTTGATGAAGAAATATACTTGCTCAAATATCTGATCCGTTTTTACCTTATCAAAGTAGAACGTGTTCAAAGTGACCTATTTTGAACATTTACAGGTCGTCGTCTGTCCGTCGGTCCGAGCTTACTTTTTGTTATTGTGTTGCTATTGGGTATTGATGTTTCTCTTTCTGTGAGGGGTAATGTAAATAATGCACTTTTTGCCTCATTCTACTATAATATTTGCATAAAAATGTAAATATTTTGTGCATACAGTGTTTGAGCATTGGTAAACTACATGTATTTGTAAACTATTATCGCTCAACCACATCCCATTCTTCCACATCAGACAGGTACAGGTCGCCCTTGTAAAGGTAAACATTTCTGTTTCCAGGGCACAATTTGACCTTTGACCTCTTTATTTTTATCTTTATCGCAACCTCCGTTTTACCCTCCTCTATCTTCTTTTCCCATCCACGTTTTTTATCATCATAGTTGTTTTTGGCTACAATAGATCTTGACGATGACGGACCAATTTCTGTTAGATAAACACCATCACCATAAACGGCATCACGTCCTCCTCCTGATTTTTTGATGTATCCATGTTTTATTATAAGTGCTGCTGAATCGCTGTCTGTGTGGTGATATAGGACTATAGTGTCACTGGATGAAGCTGGAATTATAACAAAAAGATGTTAGTAGTTAAAGTTGTATCCTTTTACATACATTTATTTTTTTCAGTTGGTTTCGTATCTTTACTTTAACAGATTGCCCAATAGCATTCATTGAAAAGCATGTTGCGCAATGCTTTTTTAATTTCAAAATAATAATAATAATAATTATAATAATGATAATAATAATAATAAGAATAATAATGATAACAATTATAATAATAATAACATATATTTAAAAAAAGAAAAGAAACAAAGTTCTACAAAGAACACGCCGCCCTTAAAATGATACTCTTATATTATTAAATGATGTCATGTAACTAATATAGAGACTTACGATGTACAATAATTTTTACCAATGAGTTGATAAAATATACATTTCAAAATTAATCTAACTTTTTTCGATTTTACTTTATGTTTTTTTTTTATTATGATTTCACTATGACACACTTACCCATTTTTTGATTGTTGTACAAGATTTTTCTGCTGTGGTTGAGTGTTAGCTTTAGTTTTTCTAAAGGGTAAATATGTAATTTGTAAATAAACAGTTTCATATAATATTCAAAATCGAAAGAATTAAGGTGTGAAATGAAATTTACGTCGATAAAATACATCAACATTTTCTCCAAGACCAACTGACCGCTCTATGTAGAATAGAAAAGCGGATAATCGTAATTGGTTGGACAGTTTGGTTGCTTTTGTTGTCAAACTTTGTCTCATCTATTATAACGTTTGCTACAATTGTTTTCTATATGAAAGCATATTTGAATTTTTTGGTTAATCTTTTGATTATATCATATTCTATTCTTAGACAATAAAGCCGCCTGGCTCTGCCAGACATTATCAATCAAAGTTCTGTGTTTGTATTAACTCTACTGGTTATGACACAAATTAACAAGGGGGAACATGTACCGTGGTAATAATAAAACATACATGTATCTATCATTAAGCCTAAAAAGGTTAATAAAATTGTAACATTACTTACCTTTTAAAGAATATAAAAAAAACTAGCCGTCCCCTTTTGGATATGTTTCTGTATGAAAATGACTGTCTTTGCTATGTTAAATTTACATTTACACGATATTGAAAGTTGTGACCTTAATGTATATAATATCTTCACGTTATAACATGAGAATGTATTTCTTAAAAATGACAAAGTATCGATTCGCCCGTTTTATCTGTGTCTAAAGTGCATGGTAGTACAGATAAGTTTATTTGTGTATCTTTATTTGTGTTATTGATTCTCATTTGAGAATAGTTACAAAAGAAGGATCAAAATCTCTACACCGTGCAGTTTTAAAATAAATTACGACTGAAAAATGTCATACAGTATAAATGTCGCAAAGTAACACTCGAATATAGCAAACCTTAAGGAAATACAGCCCGAACAAAGCCGACAATGTTTCAAACATAATCAAAAGCATCACTCAACTGTCGATCGAGATGAGTAAACAAATCTTCAAAACATTAAGACTTATTAAGAATTGAAGAAATAGTTGATAATTTGCAATTTCCATAGCATCGTATGAATTTTCTTCACACTTTGACGGATCATTTAATCGGTTGTTTACCGAATGTAGAATGTTTTCTTTTTTTAACATCTTATTGGTGTTTTTATTAATTATATCGCTTAAAGCTAGGTTAAATTATCTAAATTTACATTTGTCAAAGTTTTTATTAGAAGGAATGCTTTATTGTTTTCTAATGATTTGTGGTCTATTATGTGGTAATCAAGCACATGGTTTTTAAACATATAAAGAACAAAGCGTCAGAAAAGAAATATCTCAAGTAGTATCTAAAATTCAAACAATTTAAAGCTTCCCTTCTCCCTTTACAAGAAACTGAAACACGATCCCGACGAGTGTTTCCCGGAATTAAATATGAAAACATTTTGTTTTTGAAAATTGATAAAACGTTTATTGGGATAAGTGTATTTACTGTATGATACTTCAATGATTAATCTATTTTAGTGCACATTTAAGTTGTTTTCACGGTTTCAAGGCTGATAATATTTATTACGCAATGCTTTTACAAACATTCTTTTCTATAGAAATTCCTTTTTGTTGATGATATTTTTATGTGCCAAAGATTTTAAAAAATGTGTTAAGCTAATTTTTTACCGTCTTTTTACCTTATTTTTAATTGTTGAAAGTAATTTAATTGCTTATTCTGACACATAATTCATACTTTTCAGATCAGAGAACCTTAAGCTACATGTAGATTAATTATTTCAGTGACGTTTTCTTTTATTTTATTTTTATTTTTGAAAAACAGCATGTCCTACTTTAAGATAAATTAGAGGCAGTATAATCATATTACTAAATTAAGTACATGTGCATATCTTAGAAAATACATCACAATTCATCTCCCCTTAGTATGATGATAGTTCCAAATATGAATGATTTAAGGCCAAGTTTTCTCATCCCTTGGGAGAAAATGCAAAATGCTTAAAGCTTCTAAAAAAAAAAATGAGGAAAAGCTGACGGAACTATAAATAAAGTTGGCTTTTCTAAAGGTATGCATTACAAAGCTGACCATTCTTTCACAATCGCTTGCGTAAAATATCGTTTGTTGAAAATTGATATGCCATTGTCTTTATGACAATATGACCTTCGGCGCTTGGGGGCGTGGACGGTAACTTTCGCTTTCCAGTACCGTCCATGAACAGGCTCAATCAAACTGAGCCTTAAACATTTTCAATTTTGTCTTGTTGGGCTTTCTTTAGGAATTTCTTTATTTTATCGCCACATCACGGTGTTTGTGCCGTGTGAAGGCTGTAAAAAGTCGCCACGTACATTCAATCAGAGATTTTATATTTTGGATCCTAAAGGATCGTTCAGCACGACATTATTGTGGTGTTTGTGGTACTGTTAGTTTGTACTTTTTGGCATTTTTCTAGTTGGGTGGTTCCAATATTCCTACTTGAAAAATGTTGAATCACCCTTAGAATATGTAGCCTTAATTTAAAATTTGTCTTTTGGCGACATATCTGTAATATGCAGGCTTCATAACCTCTTATCCCCTTTCAAAATTCCATTTTATTTAGTTCTGCCCATTGTTTTCTCGTTCAGGGCACACACATTCTTTTACTTTGGGACCATACGCCGCTTTTCATGAATTTGGCACGAAAGTGCCACATTGAAAGTTCCATGTTAACCGCCTTATGAACACATCTGCGGATGTTTCAAAATTCAAAATTTCACCATTACCATCATTAAATGTTGAATTCTTCTTAAGCTGGTGCTAGGGGCGAAGAAGGTAACTTTCACTTTCCAGTACCGTCCATGAACAGGCTCAATCAAACCGAACCTAAAACATTTTCAATTTTGTCTTGTTTGGCTTTCTTTAGGGATTCTTTATTTCTCCTTATTTTATCAATTTTTCCATTTTTGAAGTTTCCTATAAAATAACGGTAAATTGTATTAATGCTAGAGTTTTATGTTTGATGTTGATGAACGAAAGGATCAAAACACCGCCTACCGAAGGACCGACCAATTTCTTGCCAATGCCACCACTCTTGTAAATTTGCTTTGTTTAAATTGATTCATTTGAAAATGTAACTTTTCGTAACAGAAGCTTTTGTGTACAATGGATTTATAACTCTTAAACTTTTCTACCTTTATTGAAAGCTATAAAACGTTGTTGATAAGAATCATTAAGGTTTTTCACTGGTTATTATGCTTTGAAATTTGAAATAATTGTTAGATAATTATTTTAAGACATTACGATTATCAAAGGCTATATTAATGATTTTTTTTATATAAAATGTCGAAGACAATATGCAAACAAATATGACGCCTGAATATATCTATACTGTTCTAGGTTAAACTATATACTTCTTTCCTTGTTTTAGGATGAATAATTTAAATGATTTTATTACAAATGATCATAATTTCACCAGAAACTGAAGTAGATATTTGATAGTATATTTGATAATGACTCTTGATTGTAACAATATCATCACTATTAAACATCGGGATGAATTGTCAAAGTATTTTACTTGTTTTGTTTTTGTTGTTGTTGCTGTGCATATGATGAAGAGCAAAATTAAGTGCGGCAAATTACTGTGGATGTACTGACTGATTTATCACAATGTCTGTCAGATGATATTTAGTTCCGATCTTGCCTTACTTTATCTGGCGAGTATTAGTTCAAATAAAAACGTTCGTTTAAAAAAAAAGCTTGATAAATTGTTAAGATTATCATCAATTTATGTAACATATAAGGTAAAGTTTATATAGAATAATGTTTACGTTAACATATTATCACTTTTCAAGACCGAAACAGCTCAGTAAAATGTTACTTCTTGAAATTTCTGAACACACTTTACGCCCAGTACTAATAATGTGAGTTTGTCAAAAGAATTTATTTAGAAAGATTTTCTGAGGTAACAACAAAAAATAGATAATTTAATATTTTGAACAAGTACCTCTATCTTACTGACTGATAAATTTATGAATCAAAAAAAGACATAACTTCTAAAATAAGTAACATGAGGTGCTGGAAATCCCTAACTTATGACGTAAGTTTCAGTTTCATATAAATAAACTCCCTAATTTAAAAAGAGTTTCTGCAAAAACAATTAACAGTAAACAGATGACTTGCTATTTTGAACATGTTATTATATCTAACTGATTAATAAGTCAATGATAACTGATAAAAGCATCAATGACAAAAATTGACATTACTTTCTATAATAAGAAACACGAGATGTTGGAAACCCAGATGATATGTCGTTAGTTTCGGTTTCATATGAATAAAATCCCGATTTCACGTTAATTTACTGACACAAACAAGTTTAAGAAAAAGCAAAGCTGACCGTAAGTATATTTTCTTTTCAGTTTCGCTCTTAAAATTAATTGATTATATATCAATTTAGAATATTTGATATGTACAAAAAAACGAGGTAATTGTTTTAAAACTACAAAGATATATGCTTAGACGGTTATGATCAATAAAAAACGAAACGAAAACAAAAAATTGAAGTGGTGGTTCTAGCATAGTTATAATGCTATTAATCAGATTGTTATGGACTCGGGTCATTCGTATTTTTGTACGAATAACATGGAAAATTTCAGTATTTTTATAAAGCCAACTAAAACTAAATTAAGGAAATTATTATAAATTATGTTAACTTAAACAGACCATCAATATTCAAAATCGTCATCATTTTATTTCTTGAATTGTTATACTTATAATTGGCTGTGAAGATAGTTTAAGGTCGACTTTTATTAATTACGTAATCAATTTATATGACATTAACCATCCCAACTTTGTGTACAATTTTGAAAAAAAAATAGGTATATTTCACAGATTCGTATGACTGTGATAATATTATCTGAAAATAACATATAATTTATTATTTACTTTAAAAAAGAAAAAACATAGAAAATCAATAAAGTATGACTTTATTTAGATACGAGGAGTGTCAGAATATGAATGTACCGTGAAATTATTTTTTTTCAAATATGTAAAGTTTCATTTTCTGATCCAATCTAATCTTTGAAGTAATTTCATAATCATTTTGTGTATATAATGTTGAGCCGGAAAAATTGCACGCAAATTTATTCAAATATGTATTCATTATCAATTTATATTAATTGGTGATATGTGAATTATTTGACGAGATAATATTCTAGATAAATTCATATTTAAATAATTATCGTATGATGTCCATTTTATTTGAACTGGCGGACACAATTGTTATAGGCCTGTAATAGATGGTCAAATCACTTTTTTGTAAAACGATTCTAAGATAAACATAATTTGTTTAGATATTAAGATAAGTAAAATCATATGTAAATTAGCAAGTTTAAAAATTAATTGAACTTTAATTGGATTCTAAAGATGACGATGTATTGACAATTTCAAGCTGAATTTCTAAAATCTTAGACTTTGGAATCAAAGTAAATTTTCACTTCTACGCTCTTGTGTTTTATTTTTATACATACATATATATCTTTGAATTTCCATATTTGCAGACTTTTCAGTTGTGTTTATTTGACACTTATTAATATTTTATTTTTTAGATACTAAAAGCGCCGCCCTTGATAACTAAAGCAAGATACTAGAGCCAGTTAACACAGAAATGGGTAAGATTGTGTGCTAGATCACTCAGTGTATGGAACACCAAAATTATCAGAAAAATCTAAATTTTCAAAATGCCAAGTTATTGTCCTATCTACATTCTATTTTTGGTTTAATTAAAATGTGATTTTATGTTTTCCTTAATGATTCAAATTTGCGTATTATTTTTTTTATATAAAATATGATTTGTATATGATGATAGTGAAGTATAGTTACATTTTTCGTTAACTATAGATTTATGCTTCAGTTTAATTTACTGTTGCAGCTAGCAACAATCATGACACATACTATCACCATACAGATAGGGACTCGGCAGGAAAGATTTTACAGTCTGGACGTATCAAACAATCCGATCCAAAACAAGGTGATGCTGCTTTTGGTCCTGGAACTTACCTTACAAAAAACGGTCCCGATAAATCACGGAGTGAAGTAGCGAGAAACAACTACGATGGTGTAACAAAACAATTCTATGAGAGTAAGATAAAAGAAGGGAAAACTGACGTGGCAATTGAAGTAAAAGTACCAAAGGGAAGCGTTCAACCTTGTCCTGCTAGTGGCAGGGATGTTCACCTCTACAAAGGAGATCTGAAGCTCTCTGACGCCAATGAAGTTAATGTTTACGTGCGTGGTAATGATGGAAAAGTCCAGAAGTATACGCATAAATAATGCAGTAACTGACTTGCTATACATTACATCAAATAAATGCTCAGAATATTTCTTATATTGTGTTTATAAACAGTATTTGTCACCAGTATACTAGGGCAATGATAAAACAACGAGACCAATTCATTATTAACATATATGTTTCTGAATTTAGATTAAAATCGAACTAGAATAAATTATGTATGTAAAATGTATATTACATATAGGAAATGTTGTTTACTTTTCACTTCATTGCTATCACAGAACTGGCAAAGTATTTGATCGTGAGGTTCCCAACAAATCGACCGGTCACATTTTGTAACGGAAGAATTCTGAATCGAAATGGCCATACTAAGTAGCCATGGGCGTTCGAATTTGTAGTTATAACTACGATATACCAACAATTATCATTGAATGACGTCATAAAAAATGACGTCATAAAATGAAAATTCGTTCTACAGTTCGATAAAAAAATGTATATAGAGGACATTTAATGAGTGTAAGTTTAATACTCTGAATTTATTAAACGAGTTGGCGAGCATAATATTATTTCATTCAACGAGTTAAATAAATAAAATAATGAACTTACACAAATTCAATATTCTACTTATCACATATCCAAAATAAAAACCTTTTGAAGCGTAAAAGAAACATATTTCTTTGACAAGCCGTTAGTATAACTCTATCATTTAGCGCGTCTTAACCCTATGTTTATATAACGCAAATTACGTCACGTCAAAATATATGCACGGTCGTGCAAGACCATATTTACGGAGTCGCAAAGTCGGCATTGGTATGTGATAAACTATTTTATTGCTGTCGATATTTAGAAATACAGGGTAAGTTGCCGTTTTCTTCTTTTGTGACATAAATAAGTTGGCGAATCAGTCCATACTTCAGAGCGCTAGCTGAGTTTCAAGGAACGCTTGCCGAATCAATATTTTAATTTAAAACTACATTTTATATATAACATGTAGTACTGTATACTTATGACATTTTACTGTTTGTAAATGTAAAATTATTGTCTTACCTTTGATTAACTAATAAGAAGCTAGGCACAACCACTGAGCTCGGTTGTAATGGTCTATAGATAAGGAGATCTCTTGTGTTTTCAAGAGAATATGACGAGGTGCAATATTTCGTGGCGTTGTGCTTTGAAATAAAATAATATGTAGGCCTATGTACTCGTACTTATTCATATTTTACATTTATTTCATATCATAACGGCAGTGTTTTTTTGCAAAGAACAGTTTACAACTTGTATTACTGCAAGACGGTGTTGTGCGACCAGCTTGGTTTGATTATTAAATCTAGGTCCTTTCATGATGCGGCCAGCTTGTTTTGGTTCTTATATCTTGGTTCGTTCTAAATCTAGTTTTAGTTCTTCTATCTTGGTACTTTCATAATGCGGCCATCTAGTTTTGGTTCTTACATCTAGGTCCTTTTTTAAATTAGAACAGCTAATTTTGATTCATATCGGTAAATTTATAATGCGGCCAGCTAGTTTTGGTTCTTATATCTAGGTTTTATTTTCAAGTTCGACAAGCTAGTTTTAGTTATTTTATCTTGGTACTTTCTTAATGCAACACGTTTATTAAGGTTCTAGTATCGAGGTACTGTTTAGATGCGACCAGCTCTTACAATTTAGATTTTTAATGCGGTCACCTTGTTTATTTTAGATATTGAATCGAGTTAAAATGTGTGTTTTTGTTCTTATTATACTGTAGATCTCCCTTCATAATACAGTCAGTTTGTGTTATGAAACTACTATCTTAGTGCCTGCATAATGCGGTATGTTGTTTTCTTGTTTTGATTCTTAGATGACATGCATAAAGCAGCAAGACGCGTTAACCACTCGACCAGGCCGCAACACAATTACTTAAATAAGGCTGGTGCCTAGGACTACTGGTTACAACTGCAGATTGGTCAACTTAAACATTTTGCGGTAGACCTTGCTAAAACCTTGTTGGAAACTTAAGTACAATTTGCAAAAAATACATAATTTAGTACATAATTTAGTATAATTGAGTACCGCTCAAACCGGTGCTAGGTTAGGGATGTTGCACTTTTTCAGTATACCTCATGTACAGACTCTATCAAACCGAGTCTGCAATTCTCTTGTAATTTTGTTGTGATTTATGCTTCCGAGGGATCACTTTGTTTCCAGATTTTTTTTTACTTAACATATTCATTAGTTTCATAAAAAAATACATATAGTTACGGAAATGTGTACATGTACTGCTTACTACAGTTAAGTCAAAGGTTTTCAAGGAAATCACCTTGAGACAAATATACTAGTATATAAAGAAAATGTAAAACATATTCACAATTTAAGTAATGATTAACATGTAATGTTTTATAAATGAATGATTTTGCAATATTCATCACCATATTTCTAGTTCGTAATTAACGCGGTGAGTGCTATTGTTCCATATAATAACCTTTTCTCTATTTATAACCTCCCTAAAAATAATTGGTTAATTATGTTGATTGAACGTGATGTTTGCAATGTGTAAATTACTTTATTTGTTCACTTGCAAATTACGACACTTTTTGATTCACTTTCAAAATTTTCATAAAATTAATATAAATCTGAAGGCATGCTACTATAAAAGACTACGCCGATATATACGTCCCTGGCGACGTTTACATCTTGAGAGCTCTATTACAGGTTCAATTGCATATTTAATCTACTTGCTGTAACTGGCACTGGTACAACATAATGATTATTTCCCAAGAAGGACTTGAACACTGGATGATTGGATACAGAAACAGACTTCACAATAACACTGATATAAATGATAACTAAAATTTGATGTTGTTTCACAATTTTATTTACAAATAAGGACTATGATGTTATATAAATACCTAACATTAATTCATGAATAATTATAATATGGTGTAGACTTATCATAAATTGATAAACTCAGTACTGACAGTATAGTCATTGTAACATCAACACGAAAATGTGCATAGTTATCTCCCTTCCTCCGTTCACTATATAATGCCTACATAAATCATTCTAATATTTTCAAATACTTGAAATAGAATAGTCAAACCTATTTTTATGTATTTTCAATATTTATTAAATACACGTAAGTAAGGTATAAATATAAAAAATGGTCAATTACTTCTATTTTATCAACTTTTGCAAACGAAAAAAACAAAAGCAGCAAATATTTAATAATAAAACAATCATATCATGAACACATTAAATTTACAAATAATTTTACAATTACAAACTAGACACGCCTCTGTCCAAGTGCCAAGTATACTGTTTTGTCAAAAGAATAAAAAGAAATTTTATTTTTATACATCATATCGACATAATCTTATGTTCTAGACAAAACAATATTGTATAAAGTATTTACAGATGACGATGATTACAAAGTTAAACAACAAAGAATTAGGGTTATTTGGATACTGCATAAACCTCAATAAAATATATCTTCCAAAGAAGTTTCCTGCAGATACATTTAACTGTGTATGAGTTGCGTCCCGGTAAAAAAGTAAAATATGAAAATTTACAATGAACAATAATACATTCAATGTGAAATAGGAGCATTGCAACTTCAACAATAAAAATAAAGCATTACAAATGACTATGGCTATCATCCCAATAAAATGTACGAGTATATGAGAGTATGTGTTATATACACTGTATTCATAATTGAGATTTTTATATCTATGAAGTTTTAAGGCCTTTACTTCGACCCTTTGTAAATAGCACAAGACAAGCTCCGGACGAAATTAAATATGAAAAAGTACAGGACAGTCACTGTAAACATTTGCAAAACAGAAATCTAAGCTATATACTTTTCCGTAAGTGTAACTTGTGTAGTGTAGTACTCTTTAACAATCTGGGAAAGATATGAAATGGATATTCCCATTTTATCAAGTGTGGAAGATCTTAACCTAGGAAAAGCTAATTTAATATGATCAAGTAGTTTTCCAGGTGGCGCCATTTGAAATAATTGTAAGCCAAGGACGACGAACAACTAACTGTCCTAAAAGCTCAACATGAGTACCGTACACTCCGGGGAACTAAACCACAAGAGATAAATGTACGAGAGAAATGAAATTACAGGCTTTTATTGAATAAAAAACTTGAAATGTGTCCATAGGACATTTATGCCCCCACACTCCACTGTTTTGTCAATTTTATGACTCTAGGTCAACTACGTTTTTGGCTAAATGTGCCGCAAGTTGAAAACAAAAAAATCTTTCACTAAGTAAAGGGCAAGAACTTTACAAACACTGAATAAATTCACAAGTCAACCACAAGGTACATAAGTGCATAGCTGACCAACATTCTTGTAAACTTTCAGACCTACAGGTCAAATATTTTTTGAGTTATTCATGAACAAGTTGAAAATTGCAAATTTATCTAAGTCATATGCAATAACTCTAACAAAACTGAAAAAAATTCACTTGCAAAGTCCCAGGTGCATAGATTCACAGTGATGTTGATCATTATTCCTTGCTGATTCTAATTCAAGCACTCAAGGAACAAATAACACAACATATTGAAATGGTTTTTACTAAGTCTAGGACAATACCTCTACAAATACTGGATAAATCTACAAACAAAACCCAAGGTGCACAACTACACATGCTGACCAACATTCCTTTTAAGTTTCATGACTCTAAGTTAAATAGATTATTTTGAGCCACGCACAACGCAAATTGAACATTGCAAATTATCAATAAGTCAAGGGCAATAACAATACAAAAAATATACAACCCCAGGTGCACAACTACATATACTGATCAACATTTCTGTAAATTTTCATGACTCTAGGTCAAATACTTTTTGAGTTACATGTGACACAAGTTGACAATTCAATTGTAAATTTTCGGTAAGTCAAGGGCAATGACTCTAAAAATACTGCGTATATCCACACAAAAATACCTAGGTGAAAAACTACACATGCTGACTAACAATCCTGTAAATGTTCATGACCCTACGTCAAATATTTTTTGAGCTACATGCGACACAAGTAGAAAATTGCAAAGTTTTACTAAGTCATGGGCAATGACTCTTAAATACTACGGTAACATATATCCACAAAAAA